AGAACCACCAAGACTCTTCCTAGAGCTGGCCACCCGGCCAAACTGAACAATCGGGGGAGAAGGGCCTTTGTCAGGGTGGTTACCAAGAACCTGATGGTCACTCTGACAGAGCTCCAGAGTTCCTCTGTGGAGATGGGAGAACCTTCCAGAAGGACAACCATGTCTGCAGCACTCCATCAATCAGACCTTTATGGTAGAATGGCCAGACGGAAGCCACTCCTCAGTAAAAGGCACGTGACAGCCCGCTTGGAGTTTGCCAAAAGGCAGCTAAAGGACTCTCAGACCATGAGAAACAAGATTCTCTGGTCTGATGAAACCAAGATTGAACTCTTTAGCCTGAATGCCAAGCGTCACGTCTGGAGGAAACCTGGCACCAAGCATGGTGGTGGCAGAATCATGCTGTCGGGATGTTTTTCAGAGGCAGGGACTGGGAGACTAGTCAGGATTGAGGGAAAGATGAACGGAGCAAAGTACAGAGAGATCCTTGATGAAAACCTGCTCCAGAGCACTCAGGACCTCAGATTGGGGCAAAGGTTCACCTTCCAACAGGACAATGACCCTAAGCACACAGCCAAGACAACGCAGGAGTGGCTTTGGGACAAGTCTCTGAATGTCCTTGAGTGGCCCAGCCAGAGCCCAGACTTGAACCTGATCGAACATCTCTGGAGAGACCTGAAAATAGCTGAGCAGCGATGCTCCCCATCCAACCTGACAGAGCTTGAGAGAATCTGCAGAGAAGAATTGGAGAATCTCCCCAAATGCAGGTGTGCCAAGCTTGTAGCGTCATACCCAAGAAGACTCAAGGCCAAAAGTGCTTCAACAAAGTACTGAGTAAAGGGTCTGAATACATATGTAAATGTGATATTTCAGTTTTGTTGTTTTTTTTTTTTGCAAACATTTCAAAAAAACCTGTTTTTCCTTTTGGTATTATGTGGTATTATGTTTAGATTGATGAGGAAAAAATACAATTTAATCCATTTTAGAATAAGCTGTGACGTAACAAAATGTGTTTTCTGAATGCACTGTAGGCAGCAGCTCTGTAGAGATGAAATGATGACTCAAATAGGCCTACAACAAATGTATTATACACAACAACTGAAATAGTTTATTAAAGTAAAGTCATGTGAATAAATTATGGTTAATAAGTGTTACACAGTAATGGGCAGTCACTACCATCATGGGACTTTTAATAATTGTTTTATTCTGTTTTGTTACAGCATTCAACCCACATAATGCATAGTGCATTTAATGTTTGTTTTTTAAACTATTGAAATCGAAAACCGTGATAATTTTTTTATAATCAAAAAGAAATCGAACTGACCTCATAAAGCACTAATCGCTCAGCACTAATGCCCATATTATGTCAGCTTAAAAGATGGAGCAAAATAGTTGGTAGAGCTAGTGGGGGTAGGGAGACATGCTATGCACTTTCCCATATTCCTTTGCCTGACATGGAACGTCAACATATCATACCACACACTGGTCCTCCATTGGGTTATAATGTTCAAGGCTTCAGAGTGATACCACCAGGGTGTTGAGCGCTTCCTTCTGCTGAAGTGGCTATTTTTTACTGGACTACTGTCCTGAGCCTGCCGTTAGCTCGAGTTGGAGTGGCTGTTATTAGAGTCCCGCCATGGGACTGCGGTCGAGTTGGTCAAGATGGTTGAGTTCTCCTTTTCTGCTCTCTGTTGTTCACCCTTTCCCAGTGCCCATACCCCAGCTGCAATGAGGAGGCTAACCACGAAAGTGACAAACATGATACGTAGAGTCTGGTCCTGGTCCTCCCATGGCCATCTAGGCCTTACCTGGCGACGGCTCATCTTCTGGTACATCCTCAGCTGGATTGTGTGGCACCTTCCTGCAGTGGCTGGAGTGGACCCAAGTGAATCTCTCAGCGATTCTCACAGCGGTGGGTGTCGTCAGCAGCTCCTGGAATGGTCCTGTCCAACGCTTTCGGATACTTTTTATCACTAATCCAGACCAACATCGTTATAAGATTTATACTACGTGTTACAGATGAGCCCGGAAAATTAATTGGTGTTTGATCCGATTGTAACAAGTGGGGTTACAGTGCTTTCTGCGCAGATCCTTCACCACCACCCAGTCACCAGGCTGAAGCTTGTGTAGCCAACTTAATTGGTGTTTGATCCGATTGTAACAAGTGGGGTTACAGTGCTTTCTGCGCAGATCCTTCACCACCACCCAGTCACCAGGCTGAAGCTTGTGTAGCCACCTCTCTTTAGCATCAGTAAGGTTTAACAGAAATTGCCTCACATAATTCTATATATTACAGTGAACTTTGAGGGCGTATAAGTCAAGTTTTCCAAAGACAAAATGGCTGGTAAACATATTTTGAGATGTGTGCCACTATTAGATCATTAATCCAGTGTGATGACTATTGCATGACATACAGTGCCTTGCAAAAGTATTCATCCCCCTTGTCGTTTTTCCTATTTTGTTGCATTACAACCTGTAATTTTTATATTGATTTTTATTTGGATTTCATGTAATGGACATACACAAAATAGTCCAAATTGGTGAAGTGAAATGAAAAAAATAACTTGTTTCAAAAAATTCAAAAAAATTAATAACGGAAAAGTGGTGCATGCATATGTATTCACACCCTTTGCTATGAAGCCCCTAAATAAGATCTGGTGCAACCAATTACCTTCAGAAGTCACATAATTAATTAAATAAAGTCCACCTGTGTGCAATCTAAGTGTCACATATCTCAGTATATAAACACCTGTTCTGAAAATATCCGAAATTTTGAACATCTCACGGAGCACCATTAAATCCATTATTTAAAAATGGAAAGAATATGGCACCACAACAAACCTACCAAGAGAGGGCCGTCCACCAAAACACAAGGACCAGGCAAGGAGGGCATTAATCAGAGAGTCAACAAAGAGACCAAAGATAACCCTGAAGGAGCTACAAAGCTCCACAGCAGAGATTGGAGTATCTGTCCATAGGACCACTTTAAGCCGTACACTCCACAGAGCTGGGCTATACGGAAGAGTGGGCAGAAAAAAGCCATTGCTTAAAAAATAAAATAGGCAAACACGTTTGGTGTTCGCCAAAAGGCATGTGGGAAACTCCCCAAACATATGGAAGAAGGTATTCTGGTCAGATGAGACTAAAATTGAGCTTTTTGGCCATCAAGGAAAACGCTATGTCTGGCGCAAACCCAACACCTCTCATCACCCCGAGAACACCATCCCCACAGTGAAGCATGGTGGTGGCAGCATCATGCTGTGGGTATGTTTTTCATCGGCAGGGACTGGGAAACTGGTCAGAATTGAAGGAATGATGGATGGCGCTAAATACAGGGAAATCCTTGAGGGAAACCTGTTTCAGTCTTCCAGAGATTTGAGACTGGGACGGAGGTTCACCTTCCAGCAGGACAATCACCCTAAGCATACTGCTAAAGCAACACTCAAGTGGTTTAAGGGGAAACATTTAAATGTCTTGGAATGGCATCTTCAAAGTGGTAGGCATGTTGTGTAAATCAAAGGATACAAACCCCCCCAAAATCAATTTGAATTCCAGGTTGTAAGGCAACAAAATGCCAAGGGGGGTGAATACTTTCGCAAGCCACTGTAAGATGCCCATATTATGCCAGCTTAAATATGTGAAAAAAAAGTATAATTTATTCTATATTACAGTGCATTTTGAGGGCACATAACTCAAGTTTCCCACGTTAAAATAAAATGCTGTTAGACATATTTTGAGATGAGTGTCACTAGTAGATCAATAATCTATTTTCATTAACATTGCAAAGCATAACATGCCCATATTATGCCAGCTACAAGATTGAAAAAATACTTGTTTACTGTATATTACAGTGAACCTTTAGGGAACCTAATTCAATTTTAACATAGTAAAAATGGATGGTAAACATTTTGTCACGTGTGTCACTAATATATCAATAATACATTGTGAATTAAATGCACTATGTATTATGTGGGTTGAATGCTGTAACAACACAGAATAAAACAATTAATAAAAGTCCCATGATGGTAGTGACTGCCCATTACTGCTTATCACTTATGAACCATCATTTATTCACATTACTTTACTTCAATAAAATATTTCAGTTGTTGTGTATATATATGCCATTTGTTTTAGGCCTATTTGATTACTATTATTTCATTCCAAGTCATCATCTGTCTATGCTGTCTGACAAAATCACTATTTTAGTAGTTCTCCAAAGTAAATAAGGCATACTTTTATGACTTCTGAATACCAACTATCAATAACTTAGATCATGTATTTTCAGGTAGAGTTACCTCACAAAGCAGCTGCTGTCTATCCCTCTAGATTGGCTTTCTTCTGCCTCTTCTCTCCTTCGTTGACTGCACCATAGAGATAGATAGAGTACTCATCTTTATATCTGTGCCATTATAGCGTCTTTGACAGCATGGGCAGCGCCATTGAGGCTGCAACCCATAGGAATCCCCACCCACTTTAAAATGGCAGAAGCATGGAGTAAGCACTTAATGGCGCTGGCTGCCCATGCCAAAATGTCCTTTTGGTCACCAGAGGTCTCTATCATTTTCTATTGTCTGCGCCACACAGACCAGACAAGTAGGCACACAATGGATTATGAGAGTGCATCCGACTCAGTCAGAAAACACGTGATACCGTAAAGTGTTGTGTATTCGCGCACACAAATTCAGTTGGAGATTGAAGCGCAGATGGCTTGACTGCTTTTTGCGAGCTACCGGTAGACGTCTAGATTGAATCTAATTATTCCGCACTTTGTATTTATGTTTGTATGATTACATTGTGCCACAGAGAGAATGACTGCTTTCCCCCCAGTGCGTAAGTGAACCAACCTTTTTCGTGAGCTACTGAGTGGAGGCAAGTTAATTTTTTACCTAATTTATGAGTTCTTGGATTACTTGGTGGGGGGGCCAAAGGGAACTGGCAATGGCAGCGTGCCTTTGCTGTGCCTCGTACAGTTTTACAGCCTGGTGCCAAGGGACAACAACAACATGGGTGTCGGTAGTAGTCGAGGAATGAAGGTTGCACCTGCGAGTGTCAACGAGATAAACGCATTCATAAGAGATGACAACACAGTCCATGTTTCGAAAGAGGAAAGTCACTTGTTCAAACCATTGAAGATACCCAAATGTACGACCTTCAATCAGTCACGAACGCAACAACTAGACAGCCAAAGTGAAGGACATGACTCACTTTCAGCAGAGGATGATGACATTGATGTGGAACTGGACCGAGTTCTAGAGAAATATGACAATCGGGAATTGCGTTCCAAAAGGAAAACTTCTGCAAAGAAGCTTTTAATCAGTTCAAACACGTATGGATTCAGTAATTCCAGACGGGTCTATAATGAAAGCGATTTCAATTCAAACCCTCACTTGCTGATTTCTGAATTGTCGGAGGGGACGGGGGCACATTGTCCAGATAACGGTTCTGTAGCAGTCAACAACAAGGACAAGCATGTCTTCCACCACTTTTCCAATGATACACACATTCAGTTCCCAAGCGGCACTCAGGAAAATGTAAGAATATTATTTTATCTCATTCTGGTCAGTGGTGATGGACGAGGATAATCAAATTGACAGCATTTGATGTATTATTTCCTGTTACATAAAATGTTAAAGGTACTCAACCAATGGCATTGGTAACTGATGTTTTTTTTATTATAAAGTTTTCTGCAAACCATATACAGTGCTTTCAGAAAGTATTCACACCCCTTGAATCTTTTCACATTTTGTTGTGTTACAAAGTGGGATTAAAATTGATTAAATTGTCTTTTTTTTGTGTGTGCATGATCTACAGAAAATACTCTGTAATGTCAAAGTGGAAGAAAAAATATATTTGTATTTATTAATGGAAAATAAAATGTAATATATCTTGATTAGATAAGTATTCAACCCCCTGAGTCAATACATGTTACAATCACATTTGGCAGCGATTATAGCTGTGAGTCGTTCTGGGTAAGTCTCGAAGAGTCTTGCACACCTGGATTGTACAATATTTACAAATTATTCTTTAAAACATTCGTCAAGCTCTGTCAAGTTGGTTGTTCATCATTGCTAGACAGACATTTTAAAGTCTTGCCAAAGATTTCCAAGCCTATTTAAGTCAAAACTGTAACTAGGCCACTCAGGAACATTCAATGTCATCTTGATAAGCAACTCCAGTGTATATTTGGCCTTGTGTTTTAGGTTATTGTCCTGCTGAAAGGTGGTTTTGTCTCCCAGTGTCTGTTGGAAAGCAGACTGAACCAGGTTTTCCTCTAGGATTTTGCCTGTGCTTAGCTCTATTCCATTTCTTCTTATCCTAGAAACTCCCTAGTCCTTGCCGATGACAAGCATACTCACAACATGAGGCAGGCACCACCATTATTGAAAATATGAAGAGTGGTACTCAGTGATGTGTTGTGTTGGATTTGCCCCAAATATAAGGCTTTGTATCCAGGACATAAAGTTAATTTCTTTGCCAATTTTTTTTGCAGTATTACTTTAGTGCCTTATTGCAAACAGGATGCATGTTTTGGAATATTTGTATTATGTACAGGCTTTCTTCTTTTCACTCTGTCATTTATGTTAGTATTGTGGAGTAACTACAATGTCACCATTGGTGAAATCCCTGAGCGGTTTCCTTCCTCTTTAGGAAAGGCACCTGTATCTTTGTAGTGACTGGGTGTATGAATATACCATCCAAAGTGTAAAATTAATAACTGCATCATGCTCAAAGGGATATTCAATGTCTGCTTTTTTACCCATCTACCAATAGGTGCCCTTCTTTGCGAACCATAGGAAAACCTCCTTGGTCTTTGTGGTTGAATCTGTGCTTGAAATTCACTGCTCGACTTAGGGACCTTACAGATAATTGTATGTGTGGGGTACAGAGATTGGGTAGTCATTTAAAAATTATGTTAAACACTATTATCGCACACAGAGTGAGTCAATGCAACTTATTATGTGACTTGTTAAAGCTGAAATATGTTAATTTTGGGGCGACCCGACCAAATTCACATAGAAAAGTGTGTTATAGATCTGTCATTCTCATTGAAAACAAGTTTATGAAGTCGTAGATCTGTTCTATGTGTGCTATTGCTATGCTTCCCGTTCTTAAGTTTAGTTTTTGCGTCTTTTACTTTCAGTTTTGTACACCAGCTTCAAACAGCTGAAAATACAATATTAATGGTTATTGATAATATATTTCACAGTGGTTTAGATGGTACAATGATTCTCTACACTATACATTGCTTGTTTTGTCATATCAACTGAAATTAGGCAAACTATTACAATTTTACAACCAGGAAATGGCAGCGCGATTTCTGCATAGTACACCTTTAAGCACATTTTTACTCCTGAACTTATCTAGCCTTGCCGTAACAAAAGGATTGAATACTTATTGACTCAAGACGTTTCAGCTTTTCATTTTTAATTAATTTGTAAACATTTCTAAAAAACATAATTCCACTTTGACATTATGGGATATTGTATGTAGATCAGTGAAACAAAATCTAAATTTAATCCATTTCAAATTCAGGCTGTAACACAACAAAATGTGGAAAAAGTCAAGGGGTGTGAATACTTTCTGAAGGCACTGTATGGTGTTCTCTGACAACTCTATTGTCAAAACTCTCAACAGGACTTCTTGACAATGGGGGCTTGTGTGGAGTCAGTGCCTCGCTCGGAAACAGACTCGTAAGTAACCTGCTCTTTCATAAATTATAAATGTTTAGCTCAGTGTCGTACACACATGGCTTCTGTAGTAATTGCCGATCGGGCAAGATCAAAATCACCTTGAGCGTATCAAAATACCAAACAATTGTGCTTTGAGCAGATCAGATTAGTTCCATGTCAGCAAACAACTTGCAAACAACTGCTTTATTGTGGCTAATTTATTCAGATACTTTTCAACATGAGAATATGCTGTAAAAAAAGATGATGATAAAATATTTAATTACACTTTTCAATTATTTTGAAATAGGCCTAGGCTATATTGCCTCTATTACACACTGACTGTACCCATTAAGCATCACAATTTGGTCCAAAGTTTCATCTATAAAACTATTGCTTTAATCTAGGCCTATTTCTGAAACGCTCTCTGCGAGTACATTTCTTGTTATAACAATTACTGACATATCTCTCCGTTCCTTCCCAGAGTCCCTGACGATAGCCATGGCCCCTCTCTTTCCATGACCGTCATCCTGTATGATGGATCAGAAGTGGACCTGATGGAGACTATAGAAAGAGAGTTTAGTTGACCCCACAGGAGAGACTGGTGGCAACCTGCCCACATATCCTGCATTTACTTTTGGAGAAGCACGTTGCTCATTTTAAAGATGTACTATGTAGAGATCGCTCCTCCATTTCCTGGTTGCTAAAATTCTAATAGTTCGCCTAATTTCAGTTTATATGTCAAAACAAGCAAGTACAGTGTAAAGAATAATTGGACCATCTAAACCACTGTGAAATATATTTTCCATAACCCAAAATATTGTATTTTCAGCTGTTTGAAGCTGGTGTACAAAACCGAAAGTAAAAGACGCAAAAACTAAACTTAAGAACGGGAAGCATAGAAATAGTGCACATAGAACAGATCTACCGCTTCTTAGACTTGCTTTCAATGACAATGACAGATCTATAACATACATTTCTATGTGAATTTGGTCAGGTCGACCAAAACGTTACATATTACAGCTTTAAAGTCTAAAATGGCAGGATAACTTTTGAACCAAAAAGTTGTTGTTTATTTGTTATGAATTGATGATTGGTGCTATATCAGTCAAGTGAAAAACAATACTGCATTTGCAGCACCATGCAGGGCACCCACCACCAACTAATGTACTAAACTATTAATTATCTCCACGGATATGTCTGTCAATGGGTAATAGACAGAACCATCAATTTCCATGTGGAATTCAATATAAAATCTGATCACAAAAATGCTGAAGAAACATTTATTTATAAATATTTGTCATTGAGCAATGTACTTGTAGTTTTGTATTCTTAATGTTGCATAACGTTAGAGTAAAACAGCTGAAGGACATTGCACTCATTTCCACAAGGCTTGTGGGCATGCTATACTAGTAGAGGGACAGGCATTTTTTTTATGGAGTAAACTAGCTAGTCATCGCTCTGCAATATTGCAACACTGTGCATGTCTGCCTGCCTGTTACAAAATAACCCGGTTAACAATATGGAACGTTTATAACGATATTTCTTAGTTTCATCTATTGCACAGTTACAGTTACATCAAAGTTATTTATAACTAACCCTTGTTCTACATGTGGTTACATGGGTATTATAGTCCGCCATCAAACACCAACAATAAGACATATAGGATATTATAGCTAGCCTACCTCAAAACAGACGTTAGCCACTGCTCCATGATCCACCACCAACCACTCGACTTTAATCTTATTTTCCAGCTTGCTTTATTTTAATGGATGGCCATATTTGAAAGTTTAGGTGACTTATGAGCACCGAGAAGTTTTATCTCTACATTTCATTCATAACGCTAAGTTTGAAAATTATTTGCTAGAAGATAGCTAAGCTAGTCGACATGTTTTAGCTAGCTAAGCTACCTAGCTTGAAGACTTGGTAACAGTGTGTGGGAAACAACTAGCTAGTTATGAAGTTGACACATCAGTCCAATCAAAGTTACCGGGCATAAGACATTGATTTATCTGTGGCCAATGACAATGAGCGTTCTTGGGCGGGCACTTCTACTGTAAATCAATGGAGCACCAGAGAGGGGCTTTTGCTGGCTAGCTCTCCCAACAGGTGCTGGGTTATGTAGTGTCCCCATGAGTGACAGCACCCTGAGCCAATCACGCGCAACCAGAGAATATCAACGACGGCTACGCTCTGTACTTTTCCTGTCTGTCCCTCCACCACAGAAAGCACAGAGAGGCTGAAACAGCTGAATTTTGGAGATGCCTTACTCAACGAAAATGTACCAAAACAACAGGAAAGCGACCACGTATGTTTTATTAGATTTTTTTAGGAAATACAATTGTTTGCTAACTGATATGATATATTGTTGTGACATGAAATAACAGAATTGCATGCAAATCTCCTGGATATTGGTGGCGCTCCGCCCCACCTGCCTCACGTGACGCATTGCCAGCAGGGTTTTGGAGGAGCTCAATGTGGCCCCTTTTTTGGCAGCTCACTTTTGCCAGTCACAGATCTGAAGTTCTACTACCCCACTGTGGTGAGATACAGGAATTGCATCTGCACACAAGCACACATACCCACTTAACACGCAATATATTGAATTGGAATACTGATATATGTGCTGAACTTCCGTATGTCCCTTCAACAATGTGATATCTCTATAGTGGCTCAATTTCAGATTGTGTCATTCACTCCCTCAATGGTTGAGGGAATTAATGAGGCAGAGATTTGCAATGTAGTATTTCGTAGTAAATGGTGGCCAACAGGATGTACTAAATACTGTGTATTACATCTGTCCTCTTGTAGTTCAATCTGCTTATATGTTCTAATAATGAAAATATACATTTTACATCACAGATTTACGTAGTCCAGAAAATGTAAAGGATTTATTATACTTCTCACATGGAAAGCTTTGAACAAATAAATAAACCAGCTATGGCTATTATATTGTGTTGATGTCAATTTAATCTATTGATATACTGTACATGCATGGTTTATTAAGAATGCACCACTATGGTCATTATAGTATTATGTTTGTAATTCTAGAGAGAGAGTCTTAAGTTGACCAAGTTGAATGTATCTCAAAGAAACAAAAACTCCTAGATTTATGACTCTGTAATTGCCACTTCACCCTGTAATGTGTTAGTACATACAAACATAAAGGGCGCATTCCTCTGCCCAGGTGTTGCTGATGCCTGTCAGATCTTAGAACGCCTGGATAGGTATTTAACGTATCAGCTAACCACATCATATGTTATTGCAATCTCTTAGTCGATGATACAGTCGATGACGTGGCACACAACCATTGGTTGATGAATGCAACGTCTGAGCAGGGGAACAGCCTACTCTGGCACATGTTAAGGGACCCAGTTCTACTCTGGCTCGGGGTTCGTTATGGAATGCATAGCCTCAGCAAGACGGAGCTGCTCTTCCTCCCAGGGAAGGACTGCCCATTCCATGATCTCGCCATCACAGTTGACAACTCCGTTGTGTCCTCCTCCCAGAGTGTGAAGAGCCTTAGCGTGTAACCTGGACAATACCCTGTCGTTCTCCGCTAACATCAAGGCGGTGACCCGATCCTGTAGGTTCATGCTCTACAACATTCGGAGAGTACGACCCTGCCTTACACAGGAAACGGTACAGGTCCTAATCCAGGCACTTGTCATCTCCCATCTGGATTACTGCAACTCGCTGTTGGCTGGGCTCCCTGCCTGTGCCATTAAACCCCTACAACTCATCCAGAATGCCGCAGCCCGTCTGGTGTTCAACCTTCCCAAGTTCTCTCACGTCACCCCGCTCCTCTGCACACTCCACTGGCTTCCAGTTGAAGCTCGCATCTGCTACAAGACCATGGTGCTTGCCTACAGAGCTGTGAGGGCAACGGCACCTCCGTACCTTCAGGCTCTGATCAGTCCCTACACCCAAACGAGGGCATTGCGTTCATCCACCTCTGGCCTGCTAGCCCCCCTAACTCTGCGGAAGCACAGTTCCCGCCCAGCCCAGTCAAAACTGTTCGCTGCTCTGGCACCCCAATGGTGGAACAAGCTCCCTCACGACGCCAGGACAGCGGAGTCACTCACCACCTTCCGGAGACACTTGAAACCCCACCTCTTTAAGGAATACCTGGGATAGGATAAAGTAATCCCTTACCCCCCCCCCCCCCCCCAAAAAAAAACATATTGTAAAGTGGTTATCCCACTGGCTATAAGGTGAATGCACCAATTTGTAAGTCGCTCTGGATAAGAGCGTCTGCTAAATGACGTAAATGTAAATGTAATGGCGTTAGGTTATACAGTGTTTGCAAGGCTAATGAAATGACTGGGAAGGAGGATAGGATCGTGAGATACCTGTCTCATATAAGAGTATATTAGATGGGGAAGTGTTATGCTATATTTGGACTGGGTACAACCCTTACCCTCATCATCAGATATATTATAAAGTCTAGAAAAAAGGCACAAATAGTTGAGTATACATTTTGTTACGTTACAGCCTTATTATAAAATGGATAAAACAAATATATTTCCTCATCAATACCCCATCATGACAAAGCGAAAACAGGTTTTTAGACATTTTTGCAAATGTATTAAACTTTGCTATGAGACTGGAAATTGAGCTCAGGTGCATCCGGTTTCCATTGATCAAACCTGGCACCATCCCTATGGTGAAGCATGGTGGTGGCAGCATCATGCTGTGGGGATGTTTTCAGCGGCAGGGACTGGGAGACTAGTCAGGATTGAGGCAAAGATGAACGGCGCAAAGTACAGAGAGATCCTTGATGAAAACCAGAGCTCTCAGGACCTCAGACTGGGGCGAAGGTTCACCTTCCAACAGGACAACAACCCTAAGCACACAGCCAAGACAAAGCAGGAGTGGCTTCGGGACAAGTCTCTGAATGTCCTTGAGTGGCCCAGCCAGAGCCCAGACTTGAACCCGATCGAACATCTCTGGAGAGACCTGAAAATAGCTGTGCAGCAACACGCCCCATCCAACCTGACAGAGCTTGAGAGGATCTGCAGAGAAGAATGGGAGAAACTCCCCAAATACAGGTGTGCCAAGACTCAATGCTGTAATCGCTGCCAAAGGTGCTTCAACAAAGTACTGTGTAAAGGGTCTGAATACTTATGTAAATGTAATATTTATGTTTATTTTTATTTTTATAAATTAGCAAAACATTTTAAAAACCTGTTTTTGCTTTGTAATTATGTGGTTTTGTCTGTATATTGATGAGGGAGGGTGTCACGCTCTTACTCTGAGGACTCTTATTTGTTGTGTCAGGGTGTGATTTTCCTTGTTGTGTATATTCATTGTGGTTATGTTCTATGTTGGATTTTCTATGTTTTAGATCTAGAATGTGTAGATCTATGTTGGCCGGGGTGGTTCCCAATCAGAGGCAGCTGTAGCTCGTTGTCTCTGATTGGGGACCATACTTAGGCAGCCTTTTGGCACCTGTTAGTTGTGGGATCTTGTTCCGTGTAAGGTATGTTGTCTGTGTGCTACCTTGGACTTCACGTATCGTTTGTTTATTGTTTTGTCGTTGTGTTTATACGTTAATAAACATGTATGCATATCACGCTGCGCCTTGGTCCGTCCCGTTCGTCTATAAACGAACGTGACAGAAGATCCCACCAAACGAGGACCAAGCAGCGTGTCCAGGAGCAGACAGCCTGGACCTGGGAGGAGATCCTGGACGGTAAGGGATCCTGGACTTGGGAGGAGATTCAGGCCGGGATGGATCGTCGTCCTTGGGAGGAGACAGTGGAGGCGCGATATAGAGAGGAGCAGCGGCAACGCGGAAGGCGCCGGCCGAGGAAGAAGCCCGAGAGACAGCCCCAAGAAAATGTTTTGGGGGGGCTAAAAGGGTGGTTGGCGGAGCCTAGAGGTAGAGCAGAGCCAACCCCCCATACTCACGCGAGGAGGCGTGTGACTGGGCAGGCTCCGTGTTTTGCGGAGCTACGTACTGTGTCGCCAGTGTTCCGGCACAGTCCTGTACGTCCTGTGCTAGCACCACGCACGTGTCGTGTGAAGATGGGCATTCAGCCAGGACGGGGTGTGCCGGCTCAACGCTCCTGGTCTCCAGTACGCCTCCTCGGTCCCGCATATCCTGCGCCTGTTCTACTAGCTGTATTGCCAGTGCGCGTGCACAGCCCAGTGCGTCCTGTGCCAGCACCCCGCATGTGTAGTGCGAAAGTGGGCAGCCAGCCAGGACGGGTTGTGCCAGCTCTCCGCTCCAGACCTCCAGTCCGCCTTCGCAGTCTGGTCCGGCCCGTTCCTGCTCCTCGCACCAAGCCAATGGTGTGCATCGCCAGCCCGGTCCGGCCTGTTCCTGTCCCTCGCACCAAGCCAGTGGTGCGCGTCGCCAGCCCGGTCCGGCCTGTTCCTGTCCCTCGCACCAAGTGCGCGTCGCCAGCCCGGTCCGGCCTGTTCCTGTCCCTCGCACCAAGCCAGTGATGCGCGTCGCCAGCCCGGCCCGGCCTGTTCCTGCCCCTCGCACCAAGCCAGTGGTGCGCGTCGCCAGCCCGGTCCGGCCTGTTCCTGTCCCTCGCACCAAGCCAGTGGTGCGCGTCGCCAGCCCGGCCCGGCCTGTTCCTGCTCCCCGCACCAGACCAGTGGTGCGCGTCGCCAGTCCGGTACGGCCCGTTCCTGCTCCCCGCACCAAGCTAGTGGTGTGCGTCGCCAGCCCAGTTCAGCCCGTTCCTGCTCCCCGCACCAAGCCAGTGGTGCGTGTCGCCAGCCCGGTTCAGCCCGTGCCTGCTCCCCGCACCAAGCCAGTGGTGCGTGTGTCCAGTCCGGCACGGCCCGTGCCTGTTCCACCGGTGCCTGGCCCGGCACCGGTCAGCTGCTCCACTCCGGAGCTAGAGCAATCCGCTCCACCGGGGTCCGGTCCAACTCCGGTCAGCGGATCCACTCCGGAGCCAGAGCAGTACGCTCCACCGGTGCCCAGTTCAGCTCCGGTCAGCTGCTCCACTCCGGAGCCAGAGCAATCCGCTCCACCGGGGTCCAGTCCAACTCCGGTCAGCGGCTCCACTCCGGAGCCAGAGCAGTCCGCTCCACCGGTGCGTGATCCAGCTCCGGTCAGCAGCTCCACTCCGGAGCCAGAGCAGTTCGTTCCACCGTCGTCGGGTCCAGCTCCAGTCAGCGGTTCCAGTCCAGACCCAGACATCAGCCCCTCTCCAGGTTCGGGGTCTCCCACACCAGGGTCCAGACAGGGCTTGGTATGTCATGGGAGGAAGGAGAGGGAAAGCAGCGCACCGAGGTCCAGACCAGACCAGGGGCGCAACAGGGAGGTGGAGAGTAAGTGGTGGTCACGCCCGGTGTCGGATCCGCTTCCGAGGCGAAATGCCCACCCGGCCCCTACCCTGTTATGTTTATATGGCGCGGTTGGAGTCCGCACCTTTGGGGGGGGGGGGGGGGGGGGGTACTGTCACGCCCTGACTCTGAGGACTCTTATTTGTTGAGTCAGGGTGTGATTTTCCTTGTTGTGTATATTCATTGTGGTTATGTTCTATGTTGGATTTTCTATGTTTTAGATCTAGAATGTGTAGATCTATGTTGGCCGGGGTGGTTCCCAATCAGAGGCAGCTGTAGCTCGTTGTCTCTGATTGGGGACCATACTTAGGCAGCCTTTTGGCACCTGTTAGTTGTGGGATCTTGTTCCGTGTAAGGTATGTTGTTTGTGTGCTACCTTGGACTTCACGTATCGTTTGTTTATTGTTTTGTCGTTGTGTTTATACGTTAATAAACATGTATGCATATCACGCTGCGCCTTGGTCCGTCCCATTCGTCAACGAACGTGACAGAGGGGGAAAAACAATTTAATCAATTTTAGAATAAGGCTGTAACGTAACAAAATATGGAAAAGGTCAAGGGGTCTGAATACTTTCCGAAGGCACTGTAAATACAAATAGCATTGAGTACATAATAACACACATTTGCAGTGCTTTTTAAAAGTCTTAAGGGATATTCTACAATGATCATCCCTCCATCTCTCCACTTCTTTCCGGTAATGGAGGTAAAGATTCCTCGTCTTCCTCGTCCTCTGGTGGAGGCACAGGGGGTGGGGTAGGGCACTTATTAAGCTTCCTGCTCACCCTGGCATACATTGGATTCCACCCCCTGTCACTCAAACCCTCCTCTTCCTCCTCCACCAATGAGAGTGGGCTTGTCAGGTCAAGCCCCTCCCCCGGGTCTGTTACTGTAGTTATTATTGGCTCATAATCAGGCAGTGTGGTTGCGCTCGATTGCTGGACCAGTTCAGCTTTGATCTCATAGCCTGGGCTTGCCAGGTCCGTTGGCTCTGTGACCATGGTTGTGTCATCGTCAGGCTGTGTGGTTGATTCGTGGACCAGTTCAGCTATGGTTTGATAGCCTGGGGTTGCCAGGTCCACTTCCACAGAGGGTTCATCAGGAGTGAGCTCCCCAATGATCTCATAGGTGTGCTGGGGTCGGACCCCCAAGGAAGGCCCCTGCTCCTCACCCTCCACCTGACCCTCTTCTTCAAGCTGAGCGATAAAGTTGGAGCTGAATTCTGCCGGGGCCTCCAGGCGGTCATGGTCATTCACGATGGGGATATCGACAGGTTCAAGATTGTCCAATGGGGGCATCCAGCACCAGGGTGTGAAGTACATTCATGATGGGGGCGTCCAGGGTGTCCCCTGAATAGACAGGAGGGGGTACAGACTCGAGGGGGGTGTCAACCTCCACCACGGATATGGGGGCTGGGATAGAGCGGAGCTCGGCTGTGAAGTTCAGGACGTCCCTCAGGTCACCTACAAGGTGAGAAAATAAGTAACCTGAAGCTTAGCCAAAGAGAGATTGAGCCCAATTAGTTTGAGAAGTGCACATGGGTGATTTGAGGTAGCCTACCGATGTCGACGGTGGTGGGAGGGGAAGGAGATATAATCGTCATGGCCACAGGGGTTCCGTTGGCGATCTGCAAGGCACCTGGAGAATCGCCTGCAGGACATCAAAACACACCTGTAATACTCACCCACTACTCACCGCACTTGTGTGAAAGACACATGGGAGAAATACGTAGGGAGATACAGAGAGAGTGAAACAGAGAGAGTGGTGAAGGCAGTACCTTGCTCATCTGGCGCCTCCCTGTGGCTCCTTGAGGGTTTGAACCTGGAGCCATCCTGCTCAGCAGGAAGCTGCTCTGGGATACTGTCTTCAGGTATGTGACTGAAATCTAACCAGGGAGGAGATGAAAACAGAACACACACTGTAAGACAACCATTCTAGTAGATCTAGAGGTAGCAGTTCGGTTTCCCACCTCTCTCGTCTTTTCTGATGTCATTGATCATGGGGTTTTCCCTGGCGGCCAGGTCATCCTCCAACTTTACCTGTCAATCAAAAACACTCAGGTAAAAATATCACAGTATACTGGGTTCATAATTTCCCTGTCATTGGTCTCAGGGCAAAGTACTCTCAAAAGGATTCCATTCCATCGCATCCCTCCCTCCTCTCTTCCCACCCTTCAACCCTTTGATCCCTTCTACACCTTTCTTGCTTCCTCCCTTCCTCGGTATCTCCCTATCTCCTCTCTTACTGACTTCTGTGTAACCCTGGTCAGGACATAGCTGTCGTCATTGTTGTTGGCTGTCCTGTCTCTCACCACTCTCATCAGCTGTGATTGGGTTCTCTCCACCTCTTCACCACCGTCGTGGAGCTCAAACGATTGCCTGTGGAACACAACACAGACTAGAGAATCCGAACAAGTTCAACAGATATCTACTGATAAACTTGCTTTAAGCTTTTTCTAGTAGTCCATTTGAGTTTTTACTCTCTTTGTTCAGAACCTAACAAAGGTATGTCTATTCTCTCTCTCGCTCGTAAAAGAAAAATAAACAGATTGAAGTATCTGAGTGATTCACCGGTGGTATCGACCTATACATTATGTACGTTATTTGAAGTGTGTCATTTCGTAATGTAGAGTGAGAGGGAGAGAGGGCCCTATACCTCATACCACAGGAATTCCCTGAGCCGCCAAACCTGAACGTTCTGTCTGTCTGGAATGTGTGTGTGTGTGTGTGTGTGTGTGTGCGTGTGCGCATGCGCGTGTGAGAGAGTGTGAGTGTGTGCATGCGTGCGTGCGTTTGAGAGAGACATAAAGTGGGGAAAAAAAGTATTTAGTCAGCCACCAATTGTGCAAGTTCTCCCACTTAAAAAGATGAGAGAGGCCTGTAATTTTCATCATAGGTACACGTCAACTATGACAGACAAAATGAGAAAAAATTCCAGAAGATCACATTGTAGGATTTTTAATGAATTTATTTGCAAATTATGGTGGAAAATAAGTATTTGGTCAATAACAAAAGTTTCTCAATACTTTGTTATATACCCTTTGTTGGCAATGACACAGATCAAACGTTTTCTGTAAGTCTTCACAAGGTTTTCACACACTGTTGCTGGTATTTTGGCCCATTCCTCCATGCAGATCTCCTCTAGAGCAGTGATGTTTTGGGGCTGTCGCTGGGCAACACGGACTTTCAACTCCCTCCAAATATTTTCTATGGGGTTGAGATCTGGAGACTGGCTAGGCCACTCCAGGACCTTGAAATGCTTCTTACAAAGCCACTCCTTCGTTGCCCGGGCAGTGTGTTTGGGAATCATTGTCATCCAAATGCACTCTAGCAAACTTCAGACGGGCCTGGACATGTACTGGCTTAAGCAGGGGGACACGTCTGGCACTGCAGGATTTGAGTCCCTGGCGGCGTAGTGTGTTACTGATGGTAGGCTTTGTTACTTTGGTCCCAGCTCTCTGCAGGTCATTCACTAGGTCCCCCCGTGTGGTTCTGGGATTTTTGCTCACCGTTCTTGTGATCATTTTGACCCCACGGGGTGAGATCTTGCGTGGAGCCCCAGATCGAGGGAGATTATCAGTGGTCTTGTATGTCTTCCATTTCCTAATAATTGCTCCCACAGTTGATTTCTTCAAACCAAGCTGCTTACCTATTGCAGATGCAGTCTTCCCAGCCTGGTGCAGGTCTACAATGTTGTTTCTGGTGTCCTTTGACAGCTCTTTGGTCTTGGCCATAGTGGAGTTTGGAGTGTGACTGTTTGAGGTTGTGGACAGGTGTCTTTTATACTGATAACAAGTTCAAACAGGTGCCATTAATACAGGTAACGAGTGGAGGACAGAGGAGCCTCTTAAAGAAGAAGGTACAGGTCTGTGAGAGCCAGAAATCTTGCTTGTTTGTAGGTGATCAAATACTTATTTTCCACCATAATTTGCAAATAAATTCATTAAAAATCCTACAATGTGATTTTCTGGAGAAAAAAAAATCTCAATTTGTCTGTCATAGTTGACATGTACCTATGATGAAAATTACAGGCCTCTCTCATCTTTTTAGGTGGGAGAACTTGCACAATTGGTGGCTGACTAAATACTTTTTTTCCCCCACTGTATTTTGGTTTATGATTATCTACAAGACAAAAGACAATACGACATTCAAAGACAATGTCCCTATCAAGTGTAGAGTATTATGACAGTGAGGGGCGAACTAGTTGCAGCCTGGAGCACTGAGCTCCATGCATGTTTCATTCATACATTTACCTACACCTCATTCCTGTAAGCCTGTCATATAGGTTCATATATATATATATATATACTCAGACATACAGTCTGTAGGATTTCAAGTTAAGACAGTTTGCTACAGGAAATGTGAATTATTATGTGGATTATAATTAATGGACATTGTTGTAGGGGTTCATACCTTTTTCGTTAGAGAAAATCAAGTCTGAAATTTCAACGTGAAAATTACAAACTTCAGAAGCCTTTTTAAACCCAAATACACTACAAGTTTTCCTACAACAGGGTGATCAAATTAAGATCCTACATCTGTAGGCGTCAAACGCTCTCTCTAATGCAACAAAATAAGAATGTTATGGTCCCTGGGAATAAAAAATAATCAAATTAATCTATCACTGACCTTCCACAGTTGGTGCAGAGGGCGAGGAGGATGATGGAGAGGAGGAGGAAGAGCAGAGAGAACACAACGACCTCTGGAGAGAATGACTCCGACGCTGACACTGCCCACGACCCCATGACCTCTCCCACCGGCGCCATGGCAACTGCTGCTGTAAGTAAAACAGTGAGTGAGAGAGGTGGAGAGAAAGAGAGAGAGAGAGAGAGAGAGAGAGAGAGAGTGTGTGTGGGTGCATACATGCTTTCGAATGTGCTTGGGTGAAATAAAAGCGTTGGCTCATTTACTGAAAGGAGTGTTTCGTTTGTGTATAGTTGCGATTGATGATGTCAATTTGTACTTTTATGGTTACATGATCAAAGAGAAGTTGACAGAACAAAGCAGAGTACACATTTGTGCACTGAGAGGATTCATCTACTTACTCATTGAAAGTTAATTCAAGAGGGTTCATGTACAGCGCATTCAGACCCCTTGACTTTTTCCACATTTTGTTACGTTACAGACTTATACTAAAATTGATTAAATTGGGTTTTTTCCTTATCAATCTACACACAAGACCCCATAATGACAAAGCAAAAACAGGTTTTTCCTTTTTTTTGCAAAAATAAATTAAAAATTTAATATCAAATTTACATAAGTATTCCGAACCTTTACAGCCTCTAGTCTTCTTGGGTATGACGATACAAGGATCTCTGTAGATCCTCTCAAGCTCTGTCAGGTTGGATGGGGAGCGTCATTGCACAGCTATTTTCAGGTCTCTCCAGAGATGTTTGATCAGGTTCAAGTCCGGGCTCTGGCTGGGACACTCAAGGACATTCAAATAATTGTCCTGAAGCCACTCCTGCGTTGCCTTGGCTGTGTGCTTGTTGGAAGGTGAACCTTCGCCCCAGTCTGAGGTCCTGAGCGCTCTGGATCAGGGTTTTATCAAGGATCTCTCTGTACTTTGCTCCGTTCATCTTTGCCTCGATCCTGACTAGTCTCCCTGTCCCTGCCGCTGATAAACATCCCCACAGCATGATGCTGCCACCACCATGCTTCACCGTAGGGATGGTGCCAGGTTTTCCTCCAGACGTGACTCTTGGCATTCAGGCCAAAGAGTTCAATCTTGGTTTCATCAGACCAGAGAATCTTGTTTCTCACGGTCAGAGAGTCTTTAGGTGCCTTTTGGCAAACTCCAAACTGGCTGTCATGTGGCTTTACTGAGGAGTGGCTTCCGTCTGGCCAGTCTACCATAAAGGTCTGATTGGTGGAGTGCTGCAGAGATGGTTGTCCTTCTGGAAGGTTCTCCCATCTCCACAGAGGAACTCTAGAGCTCTGTCAGAGTGACCATCGGGTTCTTGGTCACCTCCCTGACCAAGGCCCTTCTCCCACGATTGCTCAGTTTGGCCGGGTGGCCAGCTTTAGGAAGAGTCTTGGTGGTTCCAAACTTCTTCCATTTAAGAATGATGGAGGCCACTGTGTTCTTGGGGACCTTCAATGCTGCATAAATGTTTTGGTACCCTTCCCCAGATCTGTGCCTCAACACGATCCTGTCTCTGAGCTCTACGGAGAATTCCTTCGACCTCATGGCTTGGTACAATCAATTGAATTTACCACAGGTGGACTCCAATCAAGTTGTAGAAACATCTCAAGGATGATCAATGGATACTGGATGCACCTGATCTAAATTTCATTTTCGAGTCATATGAATACTTATGTAAATAAGGTATTTCTGTTTTTATTTTAACCTGTTTTCGCTTTGTATTATGGAGTATTGTGTGTAGATTGCTGAAGATTTGTATTTATTTAATCAATTTTAGAATAAGGCTGTAACGTAACAAAATGTGGAAAAAGTCAAGGGGTCTGAATACTTTCCGAAGGCACTGTATACACATATTATTATAACTCTTTGTATATTCACAATGTTTATTACATTCTCAGTATTGTCATGCAATTCCCAGCCCTGCCTGCACCCACGTCTACTCAATGAGGAGTAGGCTGTCTTTTTATCCACTTGAGGGTGAGGGGGCCTGGTTATACCCTTACAGTAGATGGTAAGTTAGCAAAAACATTGCCACTATCTTATACAAAACAGTGAGGAATTTCTATTGCTGGCTTTATTGATCAGCAATATTTATCAAAAAATTGCCTATAAGAATAATGCACACATGCACAGACAGACAAACAGACAGATTAATAACACAAATAAGATAACTCTGACACTGAAGACCTTTAATTATGAATGCAGATAGCAGAGACAACAATGCAACTCTGTCACACATGATTACCTCCCTGACCACATCAAATACATCACTTACTGATGTTAGGAAAAATCTTTTTTTCTGATAGGCTACTCTTACTTAATTACTGTTAATTAATTAATTACTAACTGCACTTAAATACAGAATTATCAACAAGTGTGCGAAACATTTTAAGCAAAGTAAAAAATTGAAATAGAAACAGTGAAACAAAAGAAAACATCATACACTGAGTTTACAAAACATTAGGAACACCTGCTTCTTTCCATGACATAGACTGACCAGGTGAATCCAGGTGAAAGCTATATGATCCCTTATTGATGTCACTTTTTAAATCCACTTCAATCAGTGTAAATGAAGGGGAGGAGACAGGTTAAAGAAGAATTTTTAAGCCTTGAGACAATTGAGACATGGATTGTGTATGTCTGCCATTCAGAGGGTGAACGGGCAAGACAAAATATTTAAGTGCTTTAGAACGGGGTATGGTAGTAGGTGCCAGGTGCACTGGTTTGAGTGTGTCAAGAACTGTAACGCTGCTGGTTTTTTTATATTCAACAGTTTCTCGTGTGTATCAAGAATGGCCCACCACCCAAAGGACATCATGATATGACATGTTCATTCAGAATATGGCTTCTACAGATAGCTTGTAACATATTGTACAGTTGAAGTCGGAAGTTTACATACACCTTAGCCAAATACATTTAAACTCAGTTTTTCACAATTCCTGACATTTAATCCTAGTAAAAGTTCCCTGTCTTAGGTCATTAGGATCACCACTTTATTTTAAGAATGTGAAATGTCAGAATAATAGTAGAGAGAATGATTTATTTCAGCTTTTATTCCCAGTGGGTCAGAAGTTTACATACACTCAATTAGTATTTGGTAGCATTGCCTTTAAATTGTTTAACTTGGGTCAAACGTTTTGGGTAGCCTTCCACAAGCTTCCCACAATAAGTTTGGTGTGAATTTTGGCCCATTCCTCCTGACAGAGCTGGTGTAACTGAGTCAGGTTTGTTGGCCTCCTTGCTCGCACACGCTTTTTCAGTTCTGCCCACAAATGTTCTATAGGATTGAGGTCAGGGCTTTGTGATGGCCACTCCAATTCTTGACTTTGTTGTCCTTAAGCCATTTTGTCACAACTTTGGAAGTATGCTTGGGGTCATGGTCCATTTGGAAGACCCATTTGCGACCAAGCTTTAACTTCCTGACTGATGTCTTGAGATGTTGCTTCAATATATCCACATAATTTTCCTTCCTCATGATGCCATCTATTTTGTGAAGTGCACCAGTCCCTCCTGCAGCAAAGCACCCCCACAGCATGATACTGCCACCCCCGTGCTTCACGGTTGGGATAGTGTTCTTCGGCTTGCAAGCAGCACCCTTTTTCCTCCAAACATAACGATGGTCATTATGGCCAAACAGTTCTATTTTTGTTTCATCAGACCAGAGGACATTTCTCCAAAAATAATGATATTTGTCCCCATGTGCAGTTGCAAACCGTAGTCTAGCTTTTTAATGGGGGTTTTGGAGCAGTGGCTTCTTCCTTGCTGAGTGGCCTTTCAGGTTATGTCGATATAGGACTCGTTTTACTGTGGATATAGATACTTTTGTACCTATTTCCTCCAGCATCTTCACAAGGTCCTTTGCTGTTGTTCTGGGATTAATTTGCACTGTTCGCACCAATGTACGTTCATCTCTAGGAGACAGAACGTGTTTCCTTCCTGAGCGGTATGACGGCTGCGTGGTCCCATGGTGTTTATACTTGCGTACTATTGTTTGTACAGATGAACGTGGTACCTTCAGGCGTTTGGAAATTGTTCCCAAGGATGAACCAGACTTGTGGAGGTCTACCATTTATTTTCTGAGGTCTTGACTGATTTATTTTGATTTTCCCATGATGTCAAGCAAAGAGGCACTGGGTTTGAAGGTATGCCTTGAAATACATCCACAGGTACACCTCCAATTGACTCAAATGATGTCAATTAGCCTATCAGAAGCTAAAGCCATGACATCATTTTCTGGAATTTTCCAAGCTGTTTAAAGGCACTGTCAACTTAGTGTATGTACACTTCTGACCCACTGGAATTGTGATACAGTGAATTATAAGTGAAATAATCTGTCTGTAAACAATTGTTGGAAAAGTTACTTGTGTCATGCACAAAGTAGATGTCCTAACCGACTTGCCAAAACTATAGTTTGTTAACAAGAAATTTGTGGAGTGGTTGAAAAACGAGTTTTAATGACTCCAATGTATGTAAACTTCCGACTTCAACTGTATATGCGACAGTATTTCAGAGAAAAAAAGGACTTACCTTGTGATTCACAGGGATAACGTCTTGACTGTTATAATCCAATCAAATGCATAAAACAGGGCCATCTATCAACATCTTGAAAGTGTCCAACTGATATCATTAACAACGTTTATATTCTATTCTACCATTCCAAGTATGACCTCATATTAGTTCCATTCTGTGTTCTCTGAAACACTTTCACCTCTTTGGAGGGGTCTCACTACCACTGCCAATCAATGATCCGTTGATTTGAGCCAATCAAAATGGGCTGGTGTTGATTGAAAAGCATTTTGATATAAGCCTGTGCTCATAAAAATGCATGTGCTAATTCTACTGCTCACTCTGTACTTGATGCGGCCTACACGTTGTTCAAACAATCAAAATTATATTTTGAAATGTAACTTTTTCTTTCAGGTAACCCATGAGCAAATACTGTAATCCTAATGTACACACACACACACACACACACACACACACACACACACACACACACACACACACACACACACACACACACACACAATGTATGCTTGCACAGAGGAACAGGTTGTTTTGACCACACTTGTAAACTCACACTAAGAACAGTGTCAATGAACAGGTTTCCCCTGCCGCCTAAAGCTTAGACTGTAGTCTACGGCAAATGGGTTACTAATTGAAGTGGAAATGGGGTTTATACATTCTTTAGTTTATTGCCTTGTACACACAGGACAAAGAGCAATACAGAACAGTGCTGGTATGTCATTACTGACTTTTGCTGTACAGGCGTTGAAGGCTTTAAAACTGAAACACACACCATCTTTCATTCTCTCATTTTCGAAAGGCTCTTGTTGTGTTGTTTTTGTGTGTATTGTGTTCTGGGAATTGGGATCAAGCAGTTCTTGTTGTTACTGTACAATACTGTGACAGAGTATCTCTTGCTGTGCAGGCATTTGGGACAGATAATGTGTTAGTGTACAATGATATCAAACTGGCAGCTATTTTAACAGTGCACAGCAGCCCCCAACTGATGTTTAACCCTTGATCAGTGGTGCATAGTGTGTTGTGACCCCAGCTGTGTGTGCCACTGAGATGATAGAGGGAAAGGAGAAGTGAAAGAACACTTGATAAATTGAAGGAGAGAAAGGAGAAGATAAACACTTAGCAGATGGTAGATATTGTGTATGACAGTGTGAAGAGTTAAAAAATGCAAACAAGCATAGACGGTACGGTATTAGTGGAGTACATACAGTATTTGTGCAAAGGCCCACAAGCAAACACACACGCACACACAGTTTAAGAGAAATAAGCACTTACAAAGTGAAGTATTTAGCAGGGTCGGACAGCTGACCTTGTTAGAGATGGTCAACAAACAGCAACACCTTCTCACCCAAATGTACCATGTCAATATGATACACCACAGCCACCACGTCTCTCCCTCTGTCTCTGTCTCTGTCTCTGTCTCTGTCTCTCTCTCTGTCTCTGTCTCTGTCTCTGTCTCTGTCTCTGTCTCTGTCTCTGTCTCTGTCTCTGTCTCTGTCTCTGTCTCTCTGTCTCTGTCTCTGTCTCTGTCTCTGTCTCTGTCTCTGTCTCTGTCTCTGTCTCTGTCTCTGTCTCTGTCTCTGTCTCTCTGTTCTCTTGTCACTGATCTCTGTTTCTATTCAGCAGCAAGTAACTTTGGAACTTTACTTCCTCATTCTCTCTCTCTCTCCCCCCACCTCTTTCTTTCTCTCTCTTACTCGCTCAATGTGACACACTTCTCAGCAAACCGGAAACATACACAGAATATTAGCTAAGATTCCCATTAAGTTCTAGTCAGGGTTTTATCTAACATTAGGATGATAACACCCCAAAACCATTCAAATAATGTTTTTGATAACAAAATGTTTGTTTTTTCTTCAGAAAATGTTTTAAATGAAATATCGTTGGAATGTTCTCCTGACATTCACTAAAATGTTTTGCACATTTGTAACAACTACATTCCCCAGACTTTCTCATTAGGATTCCAGGTAATGTAATAACACAATGTACCAGTAATGTTTTTAGAACATACTGCCGCAACAAAATGTCAGAACAATAGAAATGTTTCTGAGAAAACATTACGGGAACATTCTGCTAATGTTGATGGAGATGTTATTAAAAACACAGATAACAACAAGCAGGGAATATTCCCACAATGCTCTCATAAAGTTGTAGTGTGACGTTATGACATGATTGTTCCAATAACATTCCCTAAACATTCTTCAGAAATCATGTCTGGATTTAATGTAAACAATTCTGAGAAAACATTATTGGAACGTTCCGCTAACATTAATGGAGATGTCATCCGAGACATCTACCCATGTATAGGATCTTAATTTGACCACACAGCAAATCTAAATTGGTTCTGTGAATGTTCCCAGAACATTCATTACGTTGCACCAAATGTTCTAATAACACAAAAACTATCCAGTTGTGCTGACGATTACACAATATTCGTATAAACATTCACCTGATGTTGCAAGAACATTCCCAGAACACATTTTGTCTGTTCTTTAAAAGTTCCCAGAATATTGGGGACATCACAAGAATATTGGGGACATCACAATTTGTAAGTCGCTCTGGATAAGAGCGTCTGCTAAATGACTTAAATGTTAAATGTTATATGTTCCCAAAACACAAAAACTGACCAGTTGTGCTGATGATTATACAATGTTGGCATTAGGGTGGAAAAAACATTCCTATAGTAACAGAGCATATGTTTTATGTTATTAGAAAAGTTCCCAAAACGTCATTAGGTTTGTAAGAACAGTGTTGGGACATTGCAAGAGACAGCTTCCCAAAACACAAAATCTGTCGTGTGATTCCAAATAAGTGCCATATGTGTTTCTATATGGATTGTTGTACAACTAACTTCCTTAACAGTAAGACAACACTAACACATTAAAGAAACCTCCATAGATTGTTCATAAATTAATTTTATCATTCTGGGAACATAGGAATAACATGCTAAGAATATTGAGGGAATGTTTTGTGTACCCTGATACAACCCTTAAATTAGTGTGTCCTTATTACTGGGTAATTATTACTCTGAATACAGTGCAACAAGCTCATTAAGTCCAGTGTTTTGTTCACATATCTTTTGTGATGTCCCCACAATGTTCCCACCAGACTGTTCCCACAACATAATGAAACATTCTGGGAACCTTTAAAGAACAGACTAAATGTGTTCTGGGAACGTTCTTGCAACATCAGGCGAATGTTTAATACAAACATTCTATAATCATCAGCACGACTGGACAGTTCTTGTGTTATGAGAACATTTGCCGCAACCTAACAAATGTTCTGGGAACATTCTGGGAACAGAACCAACTTTGCTTTGCTGAGTTGTCATATTCTGACATGCTTTATCTCACTCTCCCACCCTGATAAGAGTTAACATGTCTGCTTTCAGTCTAGCTTTCAGAATCAAAACTATCACCGCTCAAGTTATTAGGTTGAGTGTATGTTTTATATGTAAAGACCTGCACAGATATAGTAATTTTAGGTAACACTTTACATTCAACCCTTACAATAGGGTGTCCTTATTACTGGGTAATTATTACTCTGAATACAGTGCAACAAGTTCATTAAGTATTGTTGCACTGTACTTACAGCAGTGAAAAGTAAGTACTGAAAAACAGCTTCTATCTCAAGGTCATCAGACTGTTAAATAGTTACCACTAGCCGTTTACAACCCGGTTACGCAACCCTGCACCTTAGAGGCTGCTGCCTATGTACATAAACATGGAACACTGGTCACTTTAATAATGATTACATAATGTTTTACCCACTTCATATGTATATACTGTATTCTAGTCAAGGCCATCCTATTCCACTTTTGCTGTACATATACTATTTTGTCCTACGTATTCTACAGATATCCTACATGTTCTATCCATATAATGTCCATAATGTCTATACATCCCATCATATACAGTTGAAGTCGGAAGTTTACATACACCTTAGCCAAATACATTTAAACTCAGTTTTTCACAATTCCTGACTTTTAATCCTAGTAAATATTCCCTGTCTTAGGTCAGTTAGGATCACCACTTTATTTTAAGAATGTGAAATGTCAGAATAATAGTAGAGAGAATGATTTCTTTCAGCTTTTATTTCTTTCATCACATTCCCTTTGGCCCATTCCTCCTGACAGAGCTGGTGTAACTGAATCAGGTTTGTATGCCTCCTTGCTCGCACACGCTTTTTCAGTTCAGCCCACAAATGTTCTATTGCAGGGTTCTTCAATTCCGGTCCTGGAGGGCCGAAACACTTCTGTTTTTTATTTGTACCTGGTAGTTAATTGCACTCACCTGGTGTCCCAGATCTGAATTAGCCCCTGATTAGAAGCAGAGGATGAAAAATAGAGGTGTTTCGGCCCTCCAGGACTGGAATTGAAGAACCCTGTTCTATAGGGTTGAGGTCAGGGCTTTGTGATGGCCACTCCAATACCTTGACTTTGTTGTCCTTAAGCCATTTTGCCACAACTTTGGAAGTATGCTTGGGGTCATTGTCCATTTGGAAGACCCATTTGCGACCAAGCTTTAACTTCCTAAATGATGTCTTGAGATGTTGCTTCAATATATCCACATAATTTTCCTTCCTCATGATGCCATCTATTTTGTGAAGTGCACCAGTCCCTCCTGCAGCAAAGCACCCCCACAGCATGATGCTGCCACCCCCATGCTTCACGGTTGGGATGGTGTTCTTCGGCTTGCAAGCAACCCCCTTTTTCCTCCAAATATAACGATGGTCATTATGGCCAAACAATTCTATTTTTGTTTCATCAGACCAGAGGACATTTCTCCAAAAATAATGATCTTTGTCCCCATGTGCAGTTGCAAACCGAAGTCTGGCTTTTTTATAGCGGTTTTGGAGCAGTGGCTTCTTTCTTCCTGAGCGGCCTTTCAGGTTATGTCGATATAGGACTCGTTTTACTGTGGATATAGATACTTTTGTACCTGTTTCCTCCAGCATCTTCACAAGGTCCTTTGCTGTTGTTCTGGGATTGATTTGCACTTTTCGCACCAAAGTACGTTCATCTCTAGGAGAAAGAACGTGTCTCTTTCCTGAGCTGTATGAATGCTGCGTGGTCCCATGGTGTTTATACTTGCGTACTATTGTTTGTACATTTACATTTTAGTCATTTAGCAGACGCTCTTATCCAGAGCGACTTACAGTTACTGAGTGCATACATCATTTTTTTATTTATTTTTCATACTGGCCCCCCATGGGAATCCACTGGTACACCTCCAATTGACTCAAATGATGTCAATTAGTCTATCAGAAGTTTCTACAGCCATGACATCATTTTCTGGAATTTTCCAAGCTGTTTAAAGGCACAGTCAACTTAGTGTATGTAAACATCTGACCCACTGGAATTGTGATACAGTGAATTATAAGTGGAATAATCTGTCTGTAACCAATTGTTGGAAAAATTACTTGTGTCATGCACAAAGTAGATATCCTAACCGACTTGCCAAAACTATAGTTTGTTAACAAGAAATTTGTGGAGTGGTTAAAAAACGAGTTTTAATGACTCCAACCTAAGTGTATGTAAACTTCCGACTTCAACTGTATATAGAGTGCATTCGGAAAGTATTCAGACCCCTTGACTCTTTCCACATTTTGTTACGTTACAGCCTTATTCTAAAAAATGTAATAATGATCTTATCAATCTACACAAAATACCACATAATGACAAAGCAAAAACATGTTGTAAGATATTTTTGCTAATCAGTACTTTGTTGAAGCACCTTTTGTAGAGATTACAGCCTCAAGTCTTCTTGGGTATGACACTACAAACTTGGCACACCTGTATTTGGGGAGTTTCTCCCATTCTTCTCTGCAGATCCTCTCAAGCTCTGTCAGGATGGATGGGGCGCGTTGCTGCACAGCTATTTTCAGGTCTCTCCAGAGATGTTCGATCTGATTCAAGTCCAGGCTCTGGCTGGGACACTCAAGGACATTCAGAGACTTGTCCCGAAGCCACTCCTGCGTTGTCTTGGCTGTGGGCTTAGGGTCGGTGTCCTGTTGGAAGGTGAACCTTCACCCCAGTCTGAGGTCCTGAGCGCTCTGGAGCAGGTTTTCATCAAGGATCTCTCTGTACTTTGCTCCGTTCATCTTTCCCTTGATCCTGACTAGTCTCCCAGTCCCTGCCGCAGAAAAACATGGATGGTGCCAGGTTTCCTCCAGACGTGACGCTTGGCATTCAGGCCAAAGAGTTCAACACGAGCAATGGACATTAGACAGGTGGAAATCTGTCCTTTGGTCTGATGAGTACAAATTTGAGATTTTTGGTTCCAACCGCCGTGTCTTTGTGAGATGCACAGTAGGTGAACGGATGATATCCACATGTGTGGTTCCCACCGTGTAGCATGGAGAAGGAGGTGTGATGGTGTGGGGGTGCTTTGCTGGTGACACTGTCTGTGATTTATTTAGAATTTATTTAGAACTTAACCAGTATGGCTACTATAGCATTCTGCAGCGATATGCCATCCCATCTGGTTTGGGCTTAGTGGGACTATCATTTGTTTTTCAACAGGACAATGACCCAATACACATCCAGTGCTGCATCAGATGACCTGGCCTCCACAATCACCTGCCCTCAACCCATTTGAGATGGTTTGGGATGAGTTGTACCGCAGAGTGAAGGAAAAGCAGCCAACAAGTGCTCAGCATATGTGGGAACTCCTTCAAGACTGTTGGAAAAGCATTCCAGGTGAAGCTTGTTGAGAGAATGCCAAAAGTGTGCAAAACTGTCATCAAGGCAAAAGGTTACTACTTTGAAGAATCTAAAATCTCAAATACATTTTGAGTTGTTTAACACTTTTTTGGTTACTGCATGATTCCATATGTATCCTATATCCTATTATTGTACAATGTAGAAAACAGCAAAAAATTAAGAAAAACCCTTGAATAAGTAGGTGTGTCCAAACTTTTAACTGGTGCTGTACATAAACTCCGGACTCCGACATTGCTCATAGTACAATTTTATTTTATTTATTTGGTGAATACAGGTCTGTGTGTTTGAGGCGAAGCGAGAATGTTGTAGAGGAGTTTTAGCATGACATCACCCCAGGGTCCTGAGTGAGACAAACTGTATCAAAAAATATCCTTATCTTCACAGACACACAATCACGCATGCACCCATGCATGTATGTCCTTTGTGTTCACAGTGGCCATGGCTTACTAAACCTGTATATGTGTCTGCATTCATGTGAGGAGGATCACATTGTTGAAAGATGCGTGCGTCAGAATGTTTAGTTTATTGTTTAAAAAATGACGTTTGAAACAGTGTGAGCCTAAACAGTGTGAGCCTAAACAGTGTGAACCTAAACAGTGTGAAATTGTGAAATGCTTCTCAATAGGAACATAGTCACAGCATGAATGTGCTTGGTGCAAAAGTGTTAATATTTGCTTCACAAATCACAACTCTCACTGCAGCAGATAGTAATGACAGTAGACACTGCCTCCCTGTGGCCAAAGGTGCACACTACAAATGAGACAACCTCAACATATATAAGCCTATGATCACTAGTGGATTATGTTCAAAACAAATAAGTAACTATAAAAGCAAGATATCAAGTAATCGTAGGAAGGCCTTACAATGTATTAGAATTAATCGTACAATTCCCAAATCTCTCTCTCCTTCCTCTTTGACCCTTTCTTCCCCTTCTTTCTACCTCCCTCATTTATATATCTTCTCCTTCTTCAGACTCTTCTACATGGCCACAGCTGTCAGCATGCTACAGAACACCAGTTCTCTCTTTCTCCCACTCTCTCTCCTCTCTCCTTCACCCCCCCCCCCCCCCCCCACCTCAGCCTCCTCTCCACCCGTCTCCTCATGACCACAGCTGTCAGCACGCTACAGAACACCAGGACAGGAAATGACACGGCTGCCACCAGGAGGCAGCACTCCCCATACTCCCTCATCAGGGACGCCCGCCGGGACAGGAAGTCCTCAAACACAGCTTCCTGTTGGGTCAGTGTGCAGAGGGAGAGGAGGAAGTGGAAGAGCTGGTGCCCGTGGCCGATGATGTCATACCGCCCAGGAAAGAAACGCTCAGGCATGGGACAGGAGAAGAAGAACGCTGCCAGGAGAAACAGCAACACCTGTGTGTGACATCAGAGCGTCAGATTGTGCAGGATCCTCTCCCCAACCTCACTCTTCTCTACCTCTTATCGCTATCTCTCTTTCTTTTTCTCCATCATTCCACCTCTCTCTCCCTCTCTCTCTCTCTCGCTCACCTGTATTGCGTGTAGGGTCATAGCAGGGTCGTCTCCCCAGGTCCTGCTGACCAGTCTATGTGCCACGGGACTGATGTCTAGCAGGTACGCCAGACCGGTTGGCACGACCTGGCACAGCTTACGACGGAGTGGGTACGGATGGCGGTAACTGAGTTTGGCAAAGCAGCAGCAGGCACAGGACAACCAAGCCAGGAGAGCTGCTGCAGGGAGGAACACCTAACAGTGGAGAGGTTTGTTTGTTCCTTTGTTCCTTTGTCCACGCATTCATTCACTCCTTCACTCTTTGACTCCCTCATTCATTCATTCCCCACCTCTCCTACTCGACTGCGTCGCCATGTGGGATCAGAGCTGTAGAAGTATAGAGCCAGGGCACAGCCATACTGGTACACAGCCACTCCCACATAGTCCAGGAAGAACAGGGAGTAGTGGGCCAGCTCGGAGTGGGACTGGAGCAGGTGGGCTGCAGCGCTGCAGCACAAGTAGGTCAGAACAGACAGGACGTAGTAGACCAGGGGTAGACAGGCCAGGTCCAGGTAAAGACCCAGCCCGTCTGGTCCATTCAGGGTCAGGCCCACAAGACCCTTAGGACAGGTGGTGAGGTTTAAATACAAGGTTTAAATCTGCAGTAATTGTGTGGTATTATTTTGGACACAAATACGCACATACAAATGCATACATACAAATGCACACACCTACACCTAACCCTAACACACACTGAATTACACAAACACACACTCAAAATATTACAAAAATTATTGAATTACCCCTCCACACATCACAGCAAACACAGAGAACCTCAGCGCAACGCAGACTCCGGCCAGCAAGTGGCTCCACACGTTGAGTGTCTCATTGTGTATCTGGAAGAGGCTGAGGAAGTAGAAGCTCCAGGAATGGCCCACGAGCCGGTAGCCAGACAGGATGTAGGGCTCACGGAAGAGAGGGGGGACCTCAGTGTCTCTGACGGTGTGGGGGAGAGAAGACAGAGAGGAGAGGAAGGAGGAGAGGGAACTCATGGGTTTTAGGGGGAGGGAGACGGATATACTGGGCATGGTGGGATTGGGGGCAAAGGGAATGGGGGATAAGGAGACTGGGGCACCTGTGAGGAGGTTGGGGGTGAGATGAGGGGGTCTGTGTGTAGAGGAAAGGAAAACAGGTTGGTAACCGAGTTGTCATACAGAGTTTGGTAGATATGTTGAGGTGCATGCTTTGCCAAAAACATTGGTAACACAATAAGAGGTGTACATTATTTGTACATTTACAGACAGAACTGTCATTGGACAAACATCTCATGCCTCTGGTGTATCCTCTGCCATACAATGCGCCTCTTTCATATCAACCACGGGTACCACAGCAACCAGCTCAAATCAACATCAACAACATCAACATGCTGCTGACTAATCTGGTTACATATGCTTAGCATGACCATCACAAAGACAGACCAGGAATTCAACCTTGTGAATAACAGTTAGCAGCAAACATACTTTTAGATTTCTACTATAAACTAAACCAGAAAGCCCTGATGAGACATGTTAAAAGTGGATGTAGGAGAAACAAACTTAATAAAACTGACCTTTAAATGCCCCCTTCTAACACATTCAGTGCATTCGGAAAGTATTCAGACGCCTTGACATTTTCCACATTTTGTTACATTAAAGCCTTGTGATAAAATGGATTAAAATTGTTTATTTCCCTCATCAATCTACACACAATACCCAATAATGACAAAACAAAAACAGGTTTTTAGATTTTTTTGCTAATGTTTTATTACATTTACCCTTTACTCAGTACTTTGTTGAAGCACCTTTGGCAGCGATTACAGCCTTCTTGGGTATGACGCTACAAGCTTGGCACACCTGTATTTGGGGAGTTTCTCCCATTCTTCTCATTCCATTGGGTTCTTGGTCACCTCCCTGACCAAGGCCCTTCTCCCCCGATTGCTCGGTTTGGCCGGGTGGCCAGCTCTAGGACAAGCCTTGGTGGTTCCAAACTTCTTCCATTTAAGAATGATGGAGGCCACTGTGTTCTTGGGGACCTTCAATGCTGCAGACATTTTTTGGTACCCTTCTCCAGATCTGTGCCTCGACACAATCCTGTCTCGGAGGTCTACGGACAATTCCTTCGACCTTGTGGCTTGGTTTTTGCTCTGACATGCACTGTCAACTGTGGGACCTTTATATAGACAGCTGTGTGCCTTTCCAAATCATGTCCAATCAATTGAATTTACCACAGGTGGACTCCAATGAAGTTGTAGAAACATCTCAAGGATGATCAATGGAAACAGGATGCACCTGAGCTCAATTTTGAGTCTCAAAGCAAAGGGTCTGAATACTTATGTTAATAAGGTATTTCTGTTTTCGCTTTGTCATTATGGGGTATTGTGTGTAGATTGATGAGGAAAAACATTAATTTAATCAATTTTAGAATAAGGCTGTAACGTAACAAAATGTGGAAAATGTAAAGGGGTCTGAATACTTTCTGAAGGCACTATATACAACAAGTATAGGCTGCTGGTGAGAGAAGGAAAAAGGAACTTACCTGAAACTCTCCCTTTCTGGACTATCCCACCTCTGACTACTTTAACAACTCTGTGTGTATCAACATTTCACTCCCACCGATCCCAGACATCATTCCCTCAGTATAACAGTCCGGGAGTAAATACATCTATTTTGCTTGGCCCTCTCTCGCTCTCTCTCATACACTCACGCACGCGCACTCACGCACACACACACACACACACACACACACACGGGTAACAGAAGGTATGTTCTCCTACCTCTTAGTCAGCTTAATAAAACAATGAATGTCCTTTTCTTAATGAATGCAAGAAATTGTTTCCAATTATGCTTATTTTCCTCCCAAACACAAACTGCAGACCACAAGGATTATCAGTCATGAGACATTCTTTAAATTGCAGTGAGATTTCCCTAATAACTTCTACTTCTGAATTTTCTATTCTGATGAATTCTACTCTATTCTCTTTCAAAAAGTATTATATATCGAAACGTTTAAGACAATTGTGTTTAAAAAAAAATGTTTTTATTGCTCATATAGAAAAGTGTCAATGGGGATCTTTTTCTTGAATTCTACTCAACTATTCACAGTCAATTATTCTGGCTTTGTGAGATAAACAAATGTTGGACCTCCCCGATTGCTTTAAATTAAAATAAAATACATTACATTTTCATTCAATTAAATGAATAGCCGTAGTGTACTGCAGGCTACATCAATAGGTCATTGCCCAGGCACAGGTGCACCCCACGGCCACAGACAGGAAGGAGACGCTGTAGCACTTCCTGGTGGCTGAAGTGTAGAGCACCAGGACATGCTGGTAGATAGGCACAGAGTTCTGCCCGTACTGGCTGCTGTTGGTGGGATAGCCACAGTACATAAAGCTGCACTCGGCCTCCCAGATGGTCGGAGGAATACGGTTCTCCACTGTAGTGGGTCTAGAGATGAAACAGAGAGAGAAGAAAACCACTTAACCTCTACGGGATCTAAGTCCCGTATAACGTGCGCTAATGTGATTAGCATGACTGTTGTAAGGAACAGAAAACTTTGCAGGACATAGACATGTCTTATATGGGCAGAAAGCTTAAATTCTTGTTAATCTAACTGAATTGTCCAATTTAAAGTAGCTATTAGTGACAAAATACCATGCTATTGTTTGAGAAGAGCGCACAACAACAACAAACTTATCACGGCAACTGGTTTGATACATTCACCTCTGAAGGTAAATAATGTACTTACATTCAGTAATCTTGCTCTGATTTGTCATCCTAAGGGTCCCAGAGATACAATGTAGCATAGTTTTGTTTGATAAAATCAATTTTTATATTCAAATGTAGGAACTGGGTTCTACAATTTGAACCCCTGCTGTCTCTGGCTCCAAACCCACCCTGCCCGGCCATCTAGATGTGTGAAAGTTAGTGTATAAGCTAATGATCCATCATGTATGACATTCCTGGGAGTGTGTAAACTTTTATATTTTGTATTACCATATAATTTTTGTATGTTCTCTATAGTTATGTACTTGAAAATGTATCAATTGACCAATTCGGCACATTTGGGCAGACTTGATACAAAATAGTCCAGTATTGCAATGCTTCACTGGATCAATCTGAAACGTTGCACACACACTGCTGCTATCTAGTGGCCAACATGTTAATTACTTCTAAACTGCAATATTAAATTGTGGCCTTTCTCTTGCATTTCAAAGATGATGGAACAAAAATATAAATAGAAAACTGTTTTTTTGTTTGTATTATCTTTTGCCAGATCTAATGTGTTATATTCTTCTACATTAATTTCACATTTCCACAAACTTCAAAGTGTTTCCTTTCAAATGGTAGCAAGAATATGCATATCCTTGCTTCAGGTCCTGAGCTACAGGCAGTTAGATTTGGGTATGTCATTGAAGGGATAGTTTTCACAGGCGTTACATAGAGCTTGTATTAACATTATAAAACAGTCACATAACTCCTATCGAGGTCAATATTTTTGAAAACTATTCCTTTAGGTACAGTATCAAATACCTTAGTGTGTGTGTTAATGTAAATTCACAGCAGGTAGCCTAGCGGTTTACGAGCATTGGGCCAGTAACCGAAAGGTTGCTGGTTCAAATCCCTGAGCCGACTAGGTGAAAAATCTGTCAATGTGTCCTTGAGCAAGGCACTTAATCCTAATTGCTCCTGTAAGTCACTCTGGAAAAGAGTGTCTGCTAAATGATTGAAATGTAACTCACTTCCAGGTCCAGGGGGACAGAGAGTGTGTGTGAATGTTCCCATTTCCCTCTGATTCCTCTGTGGGAATCTTGTAGTAGTCTGAAGGGATGGTCAGTGTGTCCTTACACCTCTCCTTTGTCCCCTCCTTTCCTTTCGCCATGGTCAGGCCCAGCAGCATAGACACACAGCACAGAACCTGAGGACGGGAAGAGATAGAAATACAAGTAAATATATTAGAAGTTATCTAACAAATGAATAGTGCTGAAACTTAAGCACAAACAGGCTGATCAAAAACCATGAGACAGAAAGTGTTCTATTTGTATTGTTATCAATTAAATGTATCAAAATGTCCAAATCAGATGTGATTCTGCCCTGTACTAATGAATACATTAGAGATGATGCAACCAATCCGTTTTTCGTTATGAGCTAAATTAATGAGTACATCACAAGTATATAGCATTAAAAGTATGGCAAATTAGTATACATATGGTAATCTTTACTAAGCAGCAAGTAGCCTATCAGGTCGCTGTTTTGAATCCCTGAGCCAACTAGGTGAAACATCTTTGGATGTGCCCTTGAGTGAGGGACTTAACCTTAATTGCGCTCGATAAGAGTGTCTGTTAAATGTAATCAATTGTTACATACAATTTTCAGTATCACAAAAAACCTTAGCAGTAGCTTTATCACATGCTGACTGTTATACTCACCAGGTACTTCGACATGTTGTATTTGAGCTCCATCTCTGATCTCTATGTCTATCCGTCACGTCTTTATGTCTAACTTCTGTCTCCGGGTGTGACGTATTTATCTGAATGCTTTGAGTTGAAAATCTGCATGTAATATTGAAAACACATAAAAATGAGATAATATCTCTGACCTGCATATATTTTCTGCAGATCTAAGTTAGTTGGCCTTATCACTAAATCTACTACCAGGTGCCTTCGGTGTGGAAACACCATGCAGAAATATGTTAAAGGGATAGTTACAAAATGTTGGTGAACTATCCCTTTAAGACTGGTTTACTGACATTGTGCATCCTCTACAAAAATGAAGTCTAGATTGTATAATTTCTTGATTATAAGAGCATATCATTTTGTTTATGTGTGGCTCTGTATGTTCTTCATTGCTGATCCTGGGGACCTAGATGGTGTGCATGCTTTTGTTCCAGCTCAGCTCAGCCCAAACACACCTCATTCAACTAGTGAACTCATAATCAAGGTCTTAGTTAAGTGAATCACATACATGTATTTGTGTTGGGCTGGAACATAAGCCTTCACACACAGCAGCTATAGCACTAGGGTTGGTCATTCTCAACATATTTTTGAGTGCCAACCCATTACACCCCTTTGTTGATCATTCTTGTTGCCTGTTGCATGCATCTACCCTCTTATCTGTGTGATCAACCACATAGGCTGAACAGATATCAGAGAAGCAGCAGTTGTGTGATACTCCTACCTCCTCCTACACGGTTGTAGTCTAGTCATTCTGTACACTCTAGACTACACAACTACACAACAGTTTTACTAGCTATCTCTCCATCGAAACTAAACTCTGTTCTAGATAGATGCCTCCAATGATAGGGCATCCCCATGTGCTCTATACCACCCAACCACTGCACAGATGAGTGAAAGGCTGACTGCATCCAGCCACTGTCCTATTTTAAAACAGGCCACATCTACTACCTTGACAAGCCCTCTCAACCTCGGAAATGTTCACATGCACACAGTCAGATGCTGTCCCATGGAGAAAAATGTAGAGAGAGAGAGAGAGAGAGAGAGAGAGAGAGAGAGAGAGAGAGAGAGAGAGAGAGAGAGAGAGAGAGAGAGAGAGAGAGAGAGAGAGAGAGAGAGAGAGAGAGAGAGAGAGAGAGAGAGAGAGAGCTACACTCCCACCCACTTTCAGTGGGCATTGTGTATACGCACTTCTTAATCACTACTGATGCGTATCAGTGTAGTGGAGGTATACATGTATCAATGAATAAGGCTGATGAAACGGATCAGAATGCTCAGTTTAAAATGTTGATAAAGTATTATTTCTTCACATTTTTGGCGCAGCAATGTGCACATAGCGGTAGGCCTATGCGCGAATGTTCCAAAATGCAGTGGTGGAAAAAGTACCCAATTGTCATACTTGAGTAAATGTAAAGATACCTTAATAGAAAATGACTCAAGTAAAAGTGAAAGTCACCCAGTAAAATCCTACTTCAGTAAAAGTCTAAAAGTATTTGGTTTTAAATATACTTTAGTATCAAAAGTAAATGTAATTGCTAAAATATACTTAAGTATCAAAGTAAAAGTATAAATCATTTCAAATGTCTTATATTAACCAAACCAGACGGCACCATTTTCTAGTTTTTTTAATTGACAGATATCTAGCCAGGGCCGCTCCAACACTCAGACATCATTTACAAACAAAGCCTGTGTTTAGTGAGTCCGCCAGATCAGAGGCAGTAGGAATGACTAGGGATGTTCTCTTGATAAGTGTTTGAATTAGACTATTTTCCTGACCTGCTAAGCATTCAAAATGTAACGAGTACTTTTGGGTGTCAGGGAAAATGTTTGGAGTAAAAAGTATATAATTTTCTTTAGGAATGTAGTGAAGTAAAAGTAAAAGTAGTCAAAAATATAAATAGTAAAGTACAGTACAGATACCCCAAGAAACTACTTAAGTAGTACTTTCAAGTATTTTTACTTAAGTACTTTACACCACTGCCAAAATGCAATTAGCAGGAAAACACTGTTCTAAAATGCGCACCGCACATGCAAGCGGACAGAGATGGGAATATCCGTTAGAAATGTAGAAAGAGGAGCGATAAAGATGCAACAACTATCATGCTAGACAATTAAATACATTTGAAAGAAAACCAATAGAGCAGGAGAACGCATATGAGGATGTCTTTATAAAATAATTGCCTACATGTTTCTATGGTGGGATTTTGGCTATAGGCTACTTTGAAGCAAGATAAGACATGCTTCATAATATGAAGTAAAACGTCCAGGTTTCAAACAATTAAAGGAACATGAAACATATTTAGATGCTAATGATAGGCCTAACCTTCTGGTAGATGGAAAGGCTTTCCCAAAAACCTGCTAAATTAAACGTTAACTAGCTACAAAGTAACCTATGCCTACATGGCAGAATGATATAATCTACCTGGCATTTGCATCAATCCGGTGGCCATTTGTTTTGCAAACTTAATCTCATGTGCTACAGAAATGCTAACCAAACAACAATGCTAGGTGCCTGCACACTTGAATTAAAGAGTAACTACACTAAAATATCTAAATATCTTAGATTTTTCCCATACCTCAAACTGGTCTCCTGAAGTGGTTTAAGCGTTGGACTTAGAACATCTAATTTTGTTGTTTTTCTACACTACCGGTGAAAAGTTTTAGAATACCTACTCATTCAAAGGTTTTTCTTTATTTGTACTATTTTCTACATTGTAGAATAATAGTGAAGACATCAAAACTATGAAATAACACTTATAAAAAAGTGTTAAACAAATCAAAATATATATATTTTTTGAGATTCTTCAAATAGCCACCCTTTGAAAGTTTCTTAAAGTGCAGTCGCAAAAACCATCAAGCGCTATGATGAAACTGGCTCTCATGAGGACCGCCACAGGAATGGAAGACCCAGAGTTACCTCTGCTGCAGAGGATAAGTTCATTAGAGTTACCACCCTCAGAAAATGCAGCCCAAATAAATGGTTCACAGTGTTCAAGTAACAGACACATCTCAACATCAACTGTTCAGAGGAGGCCTTCATGGTCGAATTGCTGCAAAGAAACCACTACTAAAGTACACCAATAAGAAGAAGAGACTTGCTTGGGCCAAGAAACAAGAGCAATGGACATTAGACAGGTGGAAATTTGTCCTTTTTGAGATTTTTGGTTCCAACATCTATGTCTTTGTGAGACACGGTGTGGGTGAGCGGATGATCTCCGCATGTGTATTTCTCATCGTAAAGCATGGAGGAGGAGGTGTTACCACTTTGCTGGTGACACTGTCTGTGATTTATTTAGAATTCATGGCACACTTAACCAGCATGGCTACCACAGCATTCTGCAGCGATACGCCATCCCATCTACAGTGGGGGAAAAAAGTATTTAGTCAGCCACCAATTGTGCAAGTTCTCCCACTTAAAAAGATGAGAGAGGCCTGTAATTTTCATCATAGGTACACGGCAACTATGACAGACAAAATTAGAAAAGAAAATCCAGAAAATCACATTGTAGGATTTTTTATGAATTTATTTGCAAATTATGGTGGAAAATAAGTATTTGGTCAACAACAAACGTTTCTCAATACTTTGTTATATACCCTTTGTTGGCAATGACACAGGTCAAACGTTTTCTGTAAGTCTTCACAAGGTTTTCACACACTGTTGCTGGTATTTTGGCCCATTCCTCCATGCAGATCTCCTCTAGAGCAGTGATGTTTTGGGGCTGTTGCTGGGCAACATGGACTTTCAACTCCCTCCAAAGAATTTCTATGGGGTTGAGATCTGGAGACTGGCTAGGCCACTCCAGGACCTTGAAATGCTTCTTACGAAGCCACTCCTTCGTTGCCCGGGCGGTGTGTTTGGGATCATTGTCATGCTGAAAGACCCAGCCACGTTTCATCTTCAATGCCCTTGCTGATGGAAGGAGGTTTTCACTCAAAATCTCACGATACATGGCCCCATTCATTCTTTCCTTTACACGGATCAGTCATTCTGGTCCCTTTGCAGAAAACAGCCCCAAAGCATGATGTTTCCACCCCCATGCTTCACAGTAGGTATGGTGTTCTTTGGATGCAACTCAGCATTCTTTGTCCTCCAAACACGACGAGTTGAGTTTTTACCAAAAAGTTCTGTTTTGGTTTCATCTGACCATATGACATTCTCCCAATCCTCTTCTGGATCATCCAAATGCACTCTAGCAAACTTCAGACGGGCCTGGACATGTACTGGCTTAAGCAGGGGGACACGACTGGCACTGCAGGATTTGAGTCCCTGGCGGCGTAGTGTGTTACTGATGGTAGGTTTTGTTACTTTGGTCCCAGCTCTCTGCAGGTCATTCACTAGGTCCCCCCGTGTGGTTCTGGGATTTTTGCTCACCGTTCTTGTGATCATTTTGACCCCACGGGGTGAGATCTTGCGTGGAGCCCCAGATCGAGGGAGATTATCAGTGGTCTTGTATGTCTTCCATTTCCTAATAATTGCTCCCACAGTTGATTTCTTCAAACCAAGCTGCTTACCTATTGCAGATTCAGTCTTCCCAGCCTGGTGCAGGTCTACAATTTTGTTTCTGGTGTCCTTTGACAGCTCTTTGGTCTTGGCCATAGTGGAGTTTGGAGTGTGACTGTTTGAGGTTGTGGACAGGTGTCTTTTATACTGATAACAAGTTCAAACAGGTGCCATTAATACAGGTAACGAGTGGAGGACAGAGGAGCCTCTTAAAGAAGAAGTTACAGGTCTGTGAGAGCCAGAAATCTTGCTTGTTTGTAGGTGACCAAATACTTATTTTCCACCATAATTTGCAAATAAATTCATTAAAAATCCTACAATGTGATTTTCTGGAGAAAATAAATCTCAATTTGTCTGTCATAGTTGACGTGTACCTATGATGAAAATTACAGTCCTCTCTCATCTTTTTAAGTGGGAGAACTTGCACAATTGGTGGCTGACTAAATACTTTTTTTCCCCACTGTAGTTTGGGCTTAGTGGGACTATCATTTGTTTTTCAACAGGACAATGACCCAACACACCTCCAGGCTGTGTAAGGGCTATTTGACCAAGAAGGAGCGTGATGGAGTGCTGCATCAGATGACATGGCCTCCATAATCCCCCAAAGTGAAGGAAAAGCAGCCAACAAGTGCTCAGCATATGTGGGAACTCCTTCGAGACTGTTGGAAAAGCATTCCAGGTGAAGCTGGTTGAGAGAATGCCAAGAGTGTGCAAAGCTGTTATCAAGGCAAAGGGTGGCTATTTGAAGAATCTCAAATATAAATTATGTTTTGATTTGTTTAACACTGTTTTGGTTACTACATGATTCCATATGTGTTATTTCATCGTTTTGATGTCTTCACTATTATTCTACAATGTAGAAAATAGTACAAATAAAGAAAGACCCTTGAATGAGTAGGTGTTCTAAAACTTTTGACCGGTAGTGTATATAAAAAAGTGTGACTTTGAGAGTAAAAACCTGTGAATTTCTGACTCAGTTGATAGCCTCATTAATCTGTTTCAATAGTAGACCTAATATTAGCATACTTGCACAGTACAGCATGGGTTGGCCTGACTGTGAAAGACCAATATGGGATTTATCATTTTAGGTGGAGACAATCACAAAGACAGGTGAAACAGATCAGGGTGTGACAATACCCACTTATCCAGGCACCACTACACCACTGACCACAACCTTTTAAAAGAGACATACTACTGTTCATTATCTTTGGATCTTACGGGTATTGTACATTACTTTCCTTTTATGGACCTCACCAACTTCCTGTGTCTTTCCTGCTGGCCCCGCCTCTTATTGTTATGTCACAATCTGTGTGATGTGGTTCCTAGCTTCCTCTGATGTGGTCTGGTCAGAGAGTGTCAAGGTGTCGTTCTTAGTCTGCTGCTGTGACTCAAGAGAGTCTTACTTGTGGGAAGTGTATCAGCGCTTCTGTGACCCCATTTTATCTAGAGAGAGGATGTGTGCATGTAGACAAATAAAATGCTTCTGATATAACTGCCACCCATGATACAACAAAATACAACATAGAAAAGTCATATGATATATATAAAGTGACTCACCAAAAGTCAGGAAAGTGCAAATATATTTGTGCCCTGTTCTGAGCTCTTGATTGACCAGTGTCAGCCACATATACACAGGTGTAGCCCTTTCCTGCAGTCAAATGGCCTAGTGGCCTCATGGGTGGAATGTTATTGAAACATTTCATAATTTCATAATTAATACACTTTTTTTTTTAACAGAGTTTCTACGTCAAACGGTTTAGTTACATTTCAGTCTTCTGTGAGGTATATAAATTGTAAAATTGGAATGCAAACTCAAAATTATGGTATAGGTGTCTTCTTTTAGTAAGCCCATAACCATGTGTGTTAGGTGTATACTTTTGTTTCAGAGTAGATATGTTTATGACTACCAATAAACACCTGATTTAACCCACTGCAGTAAAAGGTTAATTGATACATTGGCTAGAAAGTGCAGTAGTGCAAAAATGTGACGTTTCACAATTATGTTTTTGGGTGTCCCCCCCCGTGATTCCTGGATATTACTTAGCCCACGCTGGTTGGCTGTTAGCGGAAGTGGAGGAAGCAACTTCAGAGATTCCTGGATGTTTAGAAACCCCCATGTAGGTTAACCCATGGCCTGACATCCACATTTCCATTGACAGTGGTGTCCTAGATTGTGTTGACAGAACAAAGGGGGGAAACTAAGTCCTAGAAGATCTGAGCCACATCAAAGCCAGTCAAGTCTTACTGAAGTACCTGAACTCTCGCTCCGAGATCCCTCCCTTTTCATTGCTTCAGCTCTGAGATAGCGTAGTATAGCTTTTATGTATCACGAACTAGATATCAAACGGTTTTGCAACTAAGAGAATATGACCCTTTATTTCAGAAAGGGCTGTAAATCACCCACCTAAAGGTTTTTCTAGTCTCATCAAATGAATCAAACCAATTTGGCTGGCCTGAACTCAGTCCTTTGCTCTGACTCTAGGAGAACTTGCCATGTCCAGGCCCGCTATTTGGGACATACTGTGTTAGGGTTCAACCTTGTAAGGTGAAATAAATCACTCAAGATACATCTACCGATGTAGGATCTTAATTTGAGCCAATTCTTCTACAGCAGGAAAATAATCTAGCAGCAACAGGAAATGTGAATTATTATGTGGATTATAATTAAAGGACATGTTTTGTAGAGGTGAATACATTTTTCGTTAGGGCAAATCAACTCTGACCTTTTAAAATAGAAATTACAAACTAGAAGCCATTTTAAACTTCAAATATACTACAAGTTTGCATTTCCTACATTCAACCGCAGTGTCTCGATATCATGTTCATCATGATACATGAGTGCATCTCAAGAGGAAAAAAACAAAACCATGACAAGGCAAGAAATGTGACGATGGAAACTCACAGTGTGGTCTATCTGAACCCATGGTTACATAATGATCGGCATGATAATCCAGGTCAGTTGCTGGTTCTATTTGGTTCTGAGTGTTGAAGCGTGGGAGCATCAAGAGCGAGGAAGCATACGGTGTCTATATACATATAGTTGTATTATTACTGTGATACATAATTTTAAGCACATGACCAAATGAACTGAGTTGATCTAAGATAATATAATCAACAACAAAAAAGTCAGTAGACTCCTATGGCTATGACAATCACATGGCTTGACAATGGCTGTTTCAACTGACATACTGTTGCTGTGACATGGACATCTTCATACCTATCAGAACTATTGACACAATCTGGCCCATAACCATACAGCTTCCCATGGCTGGCTGGTTGGCTAATGTCAGTATCAAATTATTTGACAAACGCTTTGTTGAGCCCTACATAACACTAATGATAATAATGATAATACGTGTCATTAACAGTCTTTTGCAACTGACTTTGTCATGGAACAAAGTTATCTGGCCTACTATGGACCCCACAATGGACTTGAAATTCCCAAAATATGACAATAAGATTTCTGTAGGACTTTACTTGACAGTCAGTGTCATAACACATTATGACACGTCTTAACCATGTCATAATATGTCATAACAACTGACATAACTTGTCATAACCTGTCATAATATGGTCATAACACTGTCATGACCGATATATTCATACCTGTTGTAACATATATTGCCTTATTTTATGTCTGGTTATGACACCTACATAAGAGTGTCAAAACCCACATTTATTCAAATAAAACATGTACCTGCCAAGAAGTTTCCTTTTGTTTGAAAGTTTGTTTCTTAAATCCTTTCTTGTTGTTGTAATTAATTATTTCCAGTCATGTTATTTTTCATCATATTTTAAATAACTTGTAGGAAATAAACTTTATGACACTGTCAAGAAGCATTATGACCATCATAATCATATAAGCCAGATAGGCCCATCACATACATGTCCTTATGTCAATCATCAGTCAAAAAGAGGGTGTCCTGCTCCTGAAATCTGCTCCTGCATTCATCCCAGTCATCAGCAACAGAGCATTGGGATATGTGCATGTCTGACATCAATGTGTGCGCAGTTACAATGATCATTTAATATGGTCAATTAATCATTTTTGTATGTATCATATACATATTGTTGACACGTAGGCTATGGTGTAATGCAATGTTTTGCTTTGTGTGGTAGGTTTTGTGGGGTTTGACACTCTTATGTAGGTGTCATAACCAGTACATAAAATAACGCAATATACAATATGTCACAACAGATCTAAATATCTGTGTCATGACAGTATTATGAACATATTATAACAGCTTATGACAAGTTATGTCAGCTGTTATGACATATTATGACATGGCTACAACAGTGTCATAACGTGTTATGACACTGGGTGTCAAGTAAAGTGTTACAAAGATTTCATATATTTACATTTACATTTTAGTCATTTAGCAGACACTCTTATCCAGAGCGACTTACAGTTAGTATATATGACAGCAGTAACTATGTGCACTACTTTTCACGCTGTGTGGTTAGCTAGTAAGCATTAAACAGAGGATGAAAGGCAATCGCAACACCACAGGAAGTGAAACTTCAGGCGTAGACACACGGCCACTACAGTATAAAACCTACAGCATTACCTCAGACAACCTGAACAGAACCAAAACACAGCAGCAGACAAAGACCAGCAGAACACTGTGAGACAACCAGACAACCAGACCAAGACTACACCACAGCAACGACCTTCCACTGTGGACGACAAGACTAACAAACAAATCATGGGTTCTACTTCAAACGTACACTTTTTGATGGTAAGTGATTACTTTAGTATCTTCAAGATATCAGTTGAGTTTGCCACTGGTGTCTGTATCTGCTGAGCAATCGTTTTAAAGTTCAGTTCTGTCATTTTGATTATCCATTTTACCTTATTGGGTTCATAGTAGAGTAAAGATTATGTTTTATGTTTTGCTGTTGAATTTTTTTGGCTCATAGTGTAAATCAGCAAACATATTTAGCAACAAATTTAGCAAAACGGTCCTATATATGCCTTCTTTCAGAGGTGATACCAGGCCACTAACAGTCCCTCTGTTCCTCAGGTGCTGTGTGTAATGGGGGTGAGGATGATGATGATGGGGGCAGAGGCGGCCCCCCACGCCCATCCAGGGATGTCAGGAAGCCGCACACGGAGCAACCCACGGGTAGACAAGAAGTCTGTAGAGCCTACAGGTCCAGACACAATAACTGTCCCCCTGCACCTGGACCCGAGCTACAGAATTCCTTCCCGTCCCTTCAGACCCATTTGGAACCACTCGATCTCCCCATGGACTTACAAGTGAGGACCTGCAACGAGCTTACACAGACACAATAGAAATACCACAATACACACGGACAAACATTTTTTTGGTATAATTTTTTTTTATATGCCTTTCAAAATAATAATAATAATACATTTTATTTGCGTCTTTCAAAATACCTAAGGTCACTTACAGAGTAAGGAATAAAATAAAATAGCAAAATGCTATATGCTTATATGAAATATGCCATTCATACCTTTAGGAAGCTTGCTTAAAAAGAAGTAGGAATTCTCAGCTGTGCTCTGTTGAATACATTGTGATCTCTAATATCGTCCTCTCTCTCTCTCTCTCTCTCTCTCTCTCGCTCTCTCTCTCTCTCTCTCCAGCACTACCTATGATGAGTCCCGCTTTCCCCCTTTCATCTCGGAGGTCAGGTGCTCTCTGGAGGGCTGTCTGAACGTCGCGGGTAAGGAGGACAGGAACCTGGAGTCCAAACCCATCTACCACCAGATCCTGGTCCTGAGGAAGGTGATGGGGAGCGGGGACAGATACCACTACCGGCTGGAGTCAAAGATCATCGCGGTGGGCTGCACCTGTGTCAGGCCTAGCATTGAGCACCAACAGTAATGATATCTGTGTGATTTAGGTCCAGCCTGGTGATGCAGCTGGTTGAGCAGTGAGTGTTGGCAATGCCAAGGTGTACGTTCGATCCCCACATGCGTAGAATGTATTGAAAGTATTTGTGTGTTCGTTTTATGGAGCTTTATGTCATTGAAAGATCGATTTGAATAATCAAATATGGATATATTTTCTATTGAGCTTTAAATCACACAATTGATTATGTATTTATTCACTATGTGGTTCTATTTATTTTTGGGTTATTTAATGTATTGGATGATATTTTGGTATTTATTGAATAAAGAAATTCACATGATCAATTAAAAACAGAACTCCTTTAATTATATTTTGGCATTTAAAATAGAGCACAATTTCTGTACAGCAACAAGCAGCCACATCATTCCCTTCAGTAGATTTACAATGATGTTGGCTCCGACAGACTCAAGTTTACAAAGCAAACTCATAATGACATTTGAGTTAAAACCTTGCCTGCAGGTGTGAGCTCAAAGCAAAATGTGCGATATCAAAGTGTTTTTACTGAAGCATACACACTCATGCTCACACTCATCCTTACGGAAACGCTAACACTCACACTCACAGACCCACCGTTGGCACTGTCGGCACGTCAGCAAAGCACAGAGAGAATCCTGAGCAGAACGCTGAGGAAGGTAGCAATGACGTCATCCTTTGTCATATGTTTCAGCTCGATCTTTTAACATCTGTTTTGTTGTACTGGTCAGTTCCTAAAGCAGGGCACACTGACCAATCCGCTTCAGTCGTTGACTTGACCACCTCTCTCATGTGTCATCATTAGAATGTCATAGTCTCAGTCTTTACTCCAAACAACTGAACCCAGAGGGCTACCGTCTGAACAGGCTGGCGACGGCCTTCAAAATGGCTTCCAAAAATAAGTTCAGCTCGTGTTGTGATCAGGCCGTCATGACACCTACAACACAGAGTTCAGAGAGCAGGGGAGTTAGATAAGACACAAGCGCACACACACGTACAAACAACAAGGATCTCTTATAATGACTTTAAACTTTTTATAATTGATATTGAGTGATACATCACATAAACTCAGCAAAAAAAGAAACGTCCTCTCACTGTCAACTGCGTTTATTTTCAGCAAACTTAACATGTGTAAATATTTGTATGAACATAACAAGATTCAACAACTGAGACATAAACTGAACAAGTTCCACAGACGTGTGACTAACAGGAATGGAATAATGTGTCCCTGATCAAAGGGGGGGTCAAAATCAAAAGTAACAGTCAGTATCTGGTGTGGCCACCAGCTGCATTAAGTACTGCAGTGCATCTCCTCCTCATGGACTGCACCAGATGTGCCAGTTCTTGCTGTGAGATGTTACCCCACTCTTCCACCAAGGCACCTGCAAGTTCCCTGACATTTCTAGGGGGAATGGCCCTAGCCCTCACCCTCCAACAGGTCCCAGACGTGCTCAATGGGATTGAGATCCGGGCTCTTCGCTGGCCATGGCAGAACACTGGCATTCCTGTCTTGCAGGAAATCACGCACAGAACGAGCAGTATGGCTGGTGGTATTGTCATGCTGGAGGGTCATGTCAGGATGAGCCTGCAGGAAGGGTACCACATGAGGGAGGAGGATGTCTTCCCTGTAACGCACAGCGTTGAGATTGCCTGCAATGACAACAAGCTCAGTCCGATGATGCTGTGACACACCGCCCCAGACCATGACGGACCCTCCACCTCCTAATCGATCCCGCTCCAGAGTACATGCCTCGGTGTAACGCTCATTCCTTCTACGATAAACGCGAATCCGACCATCACCCCTGGTGAGACAAAACCGCGACTCATCAGTGAAGAGCACTTTTTGCCAGTCCTGTCTAGTCCAGCGACGGTGGGTTTGCACCCATAGGCGACGTTGTTGCCAGTGATGTCTGGTGAGGACCTGCCTTACAACAGGCCTACAAGCCCTCAGTCCAGCTTCTCTCAGCCTATTGCGGACAGTCTGAGCACTGATGGAGGGATTGTGCATTCCTGGTGTAACTCGGGCAGTTGTTGTTGCCATCCTGTACCTGTCCCACAGGTGTGATGCTCGGATGTACCGATCCTGTGCAGGTGTTGTTACACGTAGTCTGCCACTGCGAGGACGATCAGCTGTCCGTCCTGTCTCCCTGTAGCACTGTCTTAGGCGTCTCACAGTACAGACATTGAAATGTATTGCCCTGGCCACATCTGCAGTCCTCATGCCTCCTTGCAGCATGCCTAAGGCACGTTCACGCAGATGAGCAGGGACCCTGGGAATCTTTCTTTTGGTGTTTTTCAGAGTCAGTAGAAAGGCCTCCTTAGTGTCCTAAGTTTTCATAACTGTGACCTTAATTGCCTACCGTCTGTAAGCTGTTAGTGTCTTAACGACCGTTCCACAGGTGCATGTTCATTCATTGTTTATGGTTCATTGAACAAGCATGGGAAACAGTGTTTGAACCCTTTACAATAAAGATCTGTGAAGTTATTTGGATTTCTACAAATTATCTTTGAAAGACAAGGTCCTGAAAAAGGGACGTTTCTTTTTTTGCTGAGTTTACATCTGTAACTAGTACATATAAGTGTAATACAGTCTATTCTCCAAATAATCAAATCTACTATGTCTGAAAACACACAAAATAAACTAGCAGTGCACAATCAACACTACACTACACACCACAGTGAAACACAACAGCCATTTACTACACAATAAAGATGGAGATAATTAACGCTTAAGATCATGGAGCTTTCCTATTTGAAATAGATAAAAATTGCGAAGCCGGTAGCATCAGTAGCCCATTCTATGACTATTTATCTACATAAGCTGACATGCCATTAAGTGGTGAAAAGTGTCATCAATCATGATGTGTAGAATGCTTTAAATGTAAGTATATGTGTCAGTGATTTTATTGACCAGAACTTTAAAAAGGTAAGCTATGTTTAGATCTCTTGCAAATAATTATGTGTTCATGGTCTATTATAAATGCCAAGCCTACAGAAGGTGCAATTATCTACTAAATTGTGCATAGTGCTCTTATACTCTGCTACACTCAAGAGCACTACAAAACTACAACTTGATTTTCTGTCTCTCCAGGAAACTGCCTTGTGTGCACTTCTCCTCCTTCAACACCATCATTGTGGATTCTCGTCTGTCAAACAAATCCCATGTCCATTTTAAAAACCTGTCATGCTAGTCTCTTTTTCTTTTGTTTTCCCTTCTCTCCTATTCTCACTCAACAAAACAGAGGCTCCATGCTCTCTCTTTCTTTCTCCCCATCTCTCTCTCTCTACGCGCTCTCCTCCTTGTGCTCTCTGTTTTTCCTCACCTCCACAGCGTGCTTGTCCTGAAAGAGAGAAACACAGACACCACCCTTTAGACTTCCCGTCCGTTTCATATCAAGAAAATAATGGTCAAAGGTAATGATATTCTATGGATGATTAGTCTTAACCAACTAGAACTATTCTGACTGAATATGGATGATATTATCCATGACAGATGAAAAACAAACAAAAAACAAAGGAGCTAGAGTCTTCCTGCATTGAGTGAATTGAAATGGAATGGACCCCAACCCTGCCTAGGGTATCAGCTAAGTGTAACTCTACCTTCTCCTGCAGGCGTTCCAGCATGGCAGCTAGGTGTGCCTCCCGTTTCTCCTTGTTGTTCTCCATGCGCAGCTCCAGGCGCTCCTTGGCCAGCCGAATGAAGTTGTTGTGTTCCTCAAGGGCCTTCTGGGCCACCTCACGCTCGTGTTCCCGCTTCTCAGCCAGGTGCTTCAGCAACTCAGCCTCCTGGCACTAGGGTGTGATAGAGAAAGGAAGAGGGAGGGGTGAGTGGATGAACAGAGACCAGAGTCCCTACATCTTCAATGATACAAAGCAGTCCTGCTCAACACTGCCCACCTGACTCTAAGAATTCCATCTCCCCACCAAACTGGAAAAATTCAATTCTGACCAACATTCTGTGAGCATTCCCATCTCCACCATACAAATCTAGAAACAGTAAATATTGGCTTTCTTTCCCTCCTGACCCCTGACCTCTGACCCCTCACCTTTCTCCTCTCCTCGGCGGCGTCCAGCTTTCTCTGGATCTCCTCCAGGGAGGGCTCCCTGCGTGGGGGTGTGGTGGCGAGGGGGTTCGGACCCCCGTCAAACGAGGGGGGCTTCAGGATGACCTCGAAGGCCTGGCCGGACCTCCTCTTGTTCAGCTCAATCACCTCCATATCCCTGATGATGCACAGATTCAGGTCTACCACATCTGCAGAGGGCAGAGATTAAGAAAATTGTGAGATTGTATAAAGGAAGGACCCAAAGGAAATTGAATACCAATGAGGGGGAGGGGTGCCATTTGTGTAGCTGCATCAAAAAACGATAATTACAGTAAGCTGATTTCTGGCTCATTGAATGAAATGGCTTCTATGGTGTGCTGTGGGACTTGCAGGTAGATTGTGGTAAAATTGTGTAAAGCTGTTTGCCTTTCTTAGTGGGCTTTTCTTTGGTTTCAGGTAGGATGCAGGAACAGAAGATGGACACTAGAGGGAGCTCCCGTATCTTGTCTCTGTAGGCTGCAGGGGAGAGAAGACCATCATTAATCTATCTATCCCTCTCCCTCTCTCCCTCTCTCTCCCTCTCACACACATGCAAACACACACACTGTACCTGCGAGAGTCATTCTGCCTCTTGTTTATCTTCTAAAGACACTGTGGTGAATCAGATAGTCCTAAAAGGGAGACAAAAAAAATTGATTTAACATCAGACCCTGGGTTCTGCAAACACGTGTTAAATCCCTGTACAGCTACAGAGTTCTATTACCATTACAATAAAACGGACCCATCGTGAGTTACTGTAAAGCCTTCATTCAAACCCACTCATAGAGAGCACTTGAGCCCTTACGCTTGTCACGAAAAGAGAGAGGGAGGGGTGAGAAAGAGATAGAGAGGAGGGTGATTGGGTGAGAGTACCATCTGTATTCTGCCGCAGAAGTGACCTAACCATTGTCAAGCCCTCTCTCTCTCTCCTCGTGATAATCAGATTGACAGATCACACATTATCAGAGCATGATGGTACAGTATTGTTATATAATAAAACAAGGCAGGGCCTACCTAGCTTGCTCACATAACATACAGGCCTTATTGTCTACAGCAAAAAGGAGAAATGATGGATGGAGAGAAAGATAGATACTTCCTAATAACATCATAATAATCTTTCCATTTTTGTTAGCTCCTGCTCTTCAAGCAATCACTGTACCACAAAAACAACAAAAGAATCCACCCACAGAGAATCTGAATATTCTCTCTATTTTTTTCTCTCTCTCTTACTTTCTTTGCTTTTCTCTCCTCTCTCTTTCTCTCCATCCACCATCTTTCTCACTGGCCCCTAATCTCACACGCTTACACAAAGCTACCTCGCAACAGTAGCTAGGCCACTAGGCCACACAATACATTCCCCCTACATACTCAAAACCCCTTCAGTCATGACTAGCTGTAGGACTACTCTTCCATATTGAACCTTGCTGTTGTTGAGCCTGCCTACTGTGAGGATTGACTGACATGTAGAAAGAGTTGGCAATATATTCAATCCTTCACCTACTTGAATTCAACATGCTTTTACGACTTACACTGGCTTCCTTTTTCTATGAAGGGTCTTGTTGCTTGTTATTTAGTTTCCTTGATTTTTCTGAGTGAGTATTCATGCAGTGTTGAAAGAACAGGAAGGCAGCACACAGGGAGAGAGTAGGAGGAGTAGGAGTGAACCAAAGGCCCCAACACTATCCTGTACACACACACACACCACGCACGCACGCACGCACGCACACACTTCTACCCACAGTGTAGATGAATACACACATCCTACAGATTTCATGATCACCAATCACAATAAAAAACGAATCCCATAGTTACCACTGAGATCTCTCTCCTAATGTTAGACTCACAATCTCCTCATTGCATAACCAAAGTAATCTCATAGTCGTCTTGTACTGATCATCAACATCAGCTTTTTCACTTTAAACTATTTCTTCAACAAGTAAAGCATTTTGTAATAAATGCATAATAAGCAACGCACACTGTATGAATTGCATAAACTGCATTTCTGTGAACCAAAGCCACTTTACAAAATCATCTAGGGCAGACTGTTTCTTGTTGTTTCACTACATTTCAACCTATTATCTCCATCTGTGGATAATCTGTGCAGCCAGACACTGTGCACATGCACACACTCCTACAGCAGGAACAACTGAGGTGAGGTAAACTCCCTGTGCAACTCGGGTGATGTCATAGTCAATGGTGCACAGAGAATGTCCATCTGCGGCAGAGAGGCATCCCATTCATACACTCTGTTTTCTGTGGCTAAAGTATTTTCAAATATGAAATAGAACAATCTTTAGAGAATGCACAACATACACACTTATATTATTAGCAAAATAAACATCTTTGAAATTAATATAATTGGACTATATCCTGGATGCAACATGTCATATTTTGGTTTGTCGTTTCAGTAGTTTAGGTGGACTCACCCAATGCTGGTGGTACTCTCCTTTTCTTCTTTATCTCTCTTTTTTTCTTTCCCTCTTTCTCTGTCGTTCTGCTGCTGTTTGGGCTGCTCTCTCAACAGCATCAGCACCACAACCAGCTATTACTGCATGACATCACCTCCCAGCCATCCCATTGGCCCAGAGGATCCAAGGCCCTTGATTGGCTAGAGAGCTGTTGGAGGGAAGGGGGCGGGGGTAATGTGGAGGAGGAATGAGCTGGGGGTAGGGTTGTGTTCTTTAACCCTTTGCTGAGTGGAGGCAAGCTGCAAGGATGGAGACATCATAAATAGTGAGAGAAACAAGAGAATAGCAATACAGTAATTAAGTGGATAATAGCACAGTCACCATGCACAAAGGATATGGAAGGACAGATGTTTGTCACAGCTGTTCAATGCATTTAAAGGTGGGAAAAGACAGAATCCATTACAGGGCCGGATTACCGAACGGGGGGTGGGGGGGGGTGCAGATAGCATATGATAGAAACATTTAGAATTGCAGGAAATGTGCTTTAAAACTGCAACATTTCTCTCTGCCTCATGGCAAAATGTGTAGAAAAGCAGGAAATTTGCTTTAAAACTCCAATATTTTCTCTCAGCCTCATGGCAAAATGTGAACAAAAGCATGAGATGACCTATAAAACAGAAACATTTAATCTCTGTCCCATGACAAAAAGTGTAATATTGCAGAAAATTAGCTTTAAAACTGAACATTTGTCTCTCTGCACCATGGCAAAATGTGTTGAAATGTAGTAAGTTCGCTTATTTCCCCAAAACAAAACCCCCGGAGGTCGGTGCCCCAAATGCGGTAGTCCGGCCCTGATCCATGAGTTCATAATTTTTTGATAATTGAACATAGGAAAGCACTGGTCATGTCTAGTCATGTCTAGTCATGTTGTATGACACTGAACTGAAGTACTGAAGACAAAAAACATGAATGGAGCACTAACCGTAAGTCGCTCTTTCTGATGAATTTATTCAGCCACTGTGTGACTGTTGTCTTTTTGTTGTCTCTGCCTTATTATACACTGCTCAAAAAAATAAAGGGAACACTTAAACAACACATCCTAGATCTGAATGAATGAAATAATCTTATTAAATACTTTTTTCTTTACATAGTTGAATGTGCTGACAACACAATTACACAAAAATGTTCAATGGAAATCAAATGTATCAACCCATGGAGATCTGGATTTGGAGTCACCCTCAAAATTAAAGTTGAAAACCACACTACAGGCTGATCCAACATTGATGTAATGTCCTTAAAACAAGTCAAAATGAGGCTCAGTAGTGTGTGTGGCCTCCACGTGCCTGTATGACCTCCCTACAACGCCTGGGCGTGCTCCTGATGAGTTGGCGGATGGTCTCCTGAGGGATCTCCTCCCAGACCTGGACTAAAGCATCCGCCAACTCCTGGACAGTCTGTGGTGCAACGAGGCTTGGTGGATGGAGCGAGACATGATGTCCCAGATGTGCTCAATTGGATTCAGGTCTGGGGAACGGGCGGGCCAGTCCATAGCATCAATGCCTTCCTCTTGCAGGAACTGCTGACACACTCCAGCCACATGAGGTCTAGCATTGTCTTGCATTAGGAGGAACCCAGGGCCAACCGCACCAGCATATGGTCTCACAAGGGGTCTGAGGATCTCATCTCGGTACCTAATGGCAGTCAGGCTACCTCTGGCGAGCACATGGAGGGCTGTGCGGCCCCCCAAAGAAATGCCACCCCACACCATGACTGACCCACCGCCAAACCGGTCATGCTGGAGGATGTTGCAGGCAGCAGAACGTTCTCCACGGCGTCTCCAGACTCTGTCACGTCTGTCACGTGCTCAGTGTGAACCTGCTTTCATCTGTGAAGAGCACAGGGCGCCAGTGGCGAATTTGCCAATCTTGGTGTACTCTGGCAAATGCCAAATGTCCTGCACGGTGTTGGGCTGTAAGCACAACCCCCACCTGTGGACGTTGGGCCCTCATACCACCCTCATGGAGTCTGTTTCTGACCGTTTGAGCAGACACATGCACATTTGTGGCCTGCTGGAGGTCATTTTGCAGGGCTCTGGCAGTGCTCCTCCTGCTCCTCCTTGCACAAAGGCGGAGGTAGCGGTCCTGCTGCTGGGTTGTTGCCCTCCTACGGCCTCCTCCACGTCTCTTGATGTATTGGCCTGTCTCCTGGTAGCGCCTCCATGCTCTGGACACTATGCTGACAGACACAGCAAACCTTCTTGCCACAGCTCGCATTGATGTGCCATCCCGGATGAGCTGCACTACCTGAGCCACTTGTGTGGGTTGTAGACTACGTCTCATGCTACCACTAGAGTGAAAGCACCGCCAGCATTCAAAAGTGACCAAAACATCAGTCAGGATGCATAGGAACTGAGAAGTGGTCTGTGGTCACCATCTGCAGAACCACTTCTTTATTGGGGGTGTCTTGCTAATTGCCTATAATTTCCACCTGTTGTCTATTCCATTTGCACAACAGCATGTGACATTTATTGTCAATCAGTGTTGCTTCCTAAGTGGACAGTTTGATTTCATATAAGTGTGATTGACTTGGAGTGACATTGTGTTGTTTAAGTGTTCCCTTTATTTTTTTGAGCAGTGTATATCACTGTGGCGTGTCAACTAACGGGTTATAGAGCAAACAACGCAATTATCTCAACACAGGTTGTAATATGGCCTTTTTCCTGGCTTGCTTCCACAGTGATTTTACCCACACACTGCTACTGGCCAAAGATTACATTTGTAGTGCTTTGGGAGTCTGATGGAGATCACTGACTGACACGTTTCAGTGATTTTGCATGAGCATTGCATAGAGTTTTTCATTTACTAAGCAATACATAGCACTCTGAACAAAATGTTACTTGCAAAATCCGATGTGAATAATGTTGAATGAGGAGCTGGTTGTGACTGGTTTGAGTCTGTCAGGTTTTAACAGTAAATGTCAGATCTATTACTGTCAGAACCGAGGGATCTGTTTCATAATTTTCAGTCCCAGAGCTCTGGATGACTAAACCACACTCACCTCGCAAGCAGCCCTGTGTGGATCAGCTACTACCCACCCACCCACCCACCCACCCACACGCTCATGTGTGCACACACACTGTGTTCGGATCAACTGCCTGCATGCTTGCTGTGTAAGCAGCCTGTCGATGGCTCTTTAAAACGGTTAATCTGTTCTTCTGGTTCTCCTTCAAGTGTCAGTTTGAATGGTATTTCAATAATTGGACCTGAAACGAAGTTGAGATGTAAATGGTATTTTTAAATAGCGATCAATAAATAGTTTGCTTGCATTCAAGTACTTTTATTGGTTCCGTAATATAATGGAAACAATTATTTAACATACAGGGTGTGCAGGTTTTATTCCACCCCAGCACCAACACACCTGCCTCAACTGTCTATCAGATGTGTTAGTAAGTGCTGGGCTTGATCAAAAACCTGCAGACCCTGCAGCACTGTGGGACCAGAACTGTCCAACCCTGTACTGACAGTGTTTAGGCTAGTGTGAGACTCCACAGAGCTAGATCCCTTTAATAGACTACATGTCCCATGATGCTATGCGTGGAAGTGGTATCTGGAACAGAACACTGAGTGCTCTAAGAACATCAGGGAGATAAAGGAGGGGGAATTTGATACAAAATGATGAAAGGAACCTGAGCCATCCACCAATTTACGTCAAATAAATGTTCTAGACATACAAAGCTGCATTTTTGTGTGAAGACTCACAAACATTCATATTGATGATCGTGTCCTCAAGGCGAGAAGTCAGGTGCATTCGAATTATGTCATAATACATTAGTGTTGCAAGGCAGGGGGAGGAGTGCAGGGACTGT